AACAAAATGATCTAATATACTGACGGACTTTGAAAAAGCCACAGTTTTGTTTTCGCTTTTTTATAAGGAAGAGCATTTTTCTTAAATTTTGCTTATTGAAGGACACATGTGTTTATAATTTACTGTTTAAAAGTTTGTACTGTCACTGCCTCTTTTGTTGAGTTTTAGTCGAAAACGATTGATAACCCTCATTAACAAAATTGCAGAAATCTTTTTTGAGTAGTCATACCTTACTATCCTGAATTATGGACATATGTTGATAATTGAGCCGCGTCACGACAAAACCAACAATGGGTTTGCAACCAGCATGGATCCAGACCAGACCTATCAGTTTCTCTACTTGTTATACGGTTTGTCAGCGAACAGCATGGATCCTGATCAGACTGCGCGGATGCGCAGACTGGTCTGGATCCATGCTGGTCGCAAACCCATTATGTTGGTTTTGTCGTGACGCAGCTCAATTGGTTAAGAAAATACATGTAATCTTGTTTTCGGGCAATATCGTTTAGGTATCAGCCCGTTTCAGATAACAAGTTTTCAAATTTCTTAGAATTGTGATCATTCTCAGTCACACGAAACACTTAGTTGCTCACAAAACATTCAAAGCTCGCGTGCGTGCTCTTAAAATAATCTTTTTTATTATAATCTTTGAAACATTGTATCATACTTATAGCGCAAAGGGCCTGTATTTACTTGACATATGAACAAAAATGTCTTTTTTTTTTACCAAGAACTGTTTTAGTGTGACGTAAAGTTCAAGAGTACTTTATTCTAATTAATGATGACTATGGTATGTTTGATAATGCTCTGACAACAACGACTGACAAAATGTAGTTGTGCATCTGATCCAATAAAAATATATTTTTATCCTATTTTCATGTTTACTGTTTAAATAGATTATTGTCTTGAATATAATATAAAACGTTTTACATTACTAAGACGTATATCGTTTATTTGTCACGTGACATCAGCTCTACATAGAGGGGAAATATTGCCAATACATAAAATAGGACAATATTTCAACCCATAGTATAATTAGCTTGACTAAATGTCATCTAGCAAATGAGTACCGCCATGCAAATGTCGCCTGAGTCGCAGCGTAGTAATTAGTATTTTATAAAAAACGGGAAATGAAAAGAGAGAAAAATATAACAATATTGTGCCAAATATTTAAAGAATCTATTAATTACTTTTAACTCATGTCTTTTGTTTTTAATTTCTCGAATAGAAGTTAACTATTAGGATAAATATATCAGAACTTTTTATGACCGATATATGACAAACAAATTAACAAACGCCCCGTAACTTTTATTCAAAGGGGTGGGGGAATTAATTGACCCCTTATAGTTTTGGTCATTTAGACTAAGTATACGTTTTAAAGGACGTTTAAAGAAAAAAATCAAATATTTATTTCAGGAATTTTTCAATAAGCCGCTTTAAAGCCGAAAAATGAAGCTAAACTGAACGTCAAATTTACACAAAAGTTTTCGGCGTAAACGATAAATTATATATCAGCTTAAAGGAAAAAAAAATAATTTCCGTCGAATGCTGTAGAATTTAAGATATTTTGTACGCCTTTGGCGTTGTGATACCCGTAACAGTTGCCAAGGATATGCAACGACGTCATGTTCAAAAACGTTCTTTGATATCAACTTTGACGTAGTGTGTACAAAAATTGACTGAAATTATTGGAATAAAGTCAACGGAATCTTATCAGATATATGGTCACCTTTCTGCATGCCAATTTTCAAGACGCTTCTCTAAAGTTCGCAAAGTGTCCCGTTCTACCTTAAAGATACTTGAAATGTCGGTAATAAGTGATGAACCCGTTTTAAAAATCACGGTGCATTTTTTTGTTTGCCTGCTCACCGCCACAGAAAGACTTAGAGAACGTAAATAACACTAGGGAGGCAGAGCCTAGCCCCCAAATAGATAGACCATGTATTCCGCTGATTGAGAGAGCTATTCAGAAAAATTCAAATAATCAGTTCAGATGTTAAGAACAATTGTCAATTTATTTTAGTGTCAGAAAAATGCACTTTGTAGACACGATGCGTTAAAACGCAAGTAATAAATAGTAAATCAAACAAAACTGTGTTTTTCACACAATTCTCGGATATTCTTTACTATAATATTAGATAGATTTTGTGGAGATATTTTCAGCATTTTTCAACTTAATACATCTGGAAATAAATAAATAGATAAATAAATAAATAGGGAAACGTTGTCTTTGCGTAAAATTGTCTGCTTCTCAAATGTTTTAGCCAAACTGTGGTCAGTACCATGTATCCTGATATAATAGCTCAAGAAACCGGACTCAAGGGTGATTCAGATAAGGTGAAAGCAGGCTGAAATAAATGAACTTAAAAAAACTTAAAACATACCCTGCATTTGAAGCTCTATGCTTGTCCGTTAAAATTGAGCGCTTTTTCGGGATATTCGCGTCGATGTATATACTCTGATCTCTGTTTTCTAAATAAAGCAACAGTTTACTGTATCCTACTCACGATTGTCGTTATCACAAAATAACGCAAACTATGCCACCAACAAAATTTGTGAGGCTTTTATACACTATGAATTAATGTATATTAGCGCTGATATTTTATAATTGCAAGATAAAAAAAGCAATTATAACTGACAGAATAAATCATAATTGATATGTCAAGGGGATACTATCACGTTTATTTTCATGGGAATTAGAAATATCATCGTCGTGCAGTCTAATCTGTTTTTCGTTACGAAGGCAACCTGCTGGTAACCTTAGCTCAATTTTTCGGCATACTCATTAGCAAATAGTTCTAGCAGGCCCACATTCGCAAAACTAGCATGCATTTACTCTACGCGCTTTGCTAATGTCAAAATGGTATGGCGGGGATTATTTCTATCCCTCTAATTATAATTGCATGGGAGTGACATTTGAAATATTCTAAGTCTCGGTCTATTCACGACATCTACTTTAAACATGAATTGTTGGACTAGATTGATAATGTTTTATCCATATGTTAATGTGTTTTTACTTATTAGTTTCACATCAGGAATCTGTACACGTCTTATTATAATATCATAGAAATAAACTGATGATAATCAAGAAAAAAAATAACGAATTTATGCCAAGTAACAAATTTACAGAAAGCCAGCCAATCTGTACTCTTTGATTGTTTAAGCTGTCTAGAGCATTTAACTAAAATATAAATATATACCAATTTTAGTTTGAATTAGAGTATATTAAATGACTGTGTCTTCAATACTGGCTTTATTTAAATTATAGAGGCTGGCGAGCATAATTTTACTGTATTATTTGAGTTTAATAAATCTAATACTGAAGCAGCATGAATGCCATATCTTATTTATCACATACCCAAAATTTTTTAATCAAGCTAGAGCTGTCAGAAGGAAATTGCGCTCGATTTTCCTCATTGCCTACCAGTTAAACATTAGTTTTTACCAAAAAATATTTCATTATAAAATGCCAGCCTCCAATTATTATTTCCAATGTTCTTTTAAAATGTCTTTTCTGTTAATATATCGTTTAAATGAAAAGAAATGTCTTTATAATTTGATTTTTCAATCTCTAATCTCAATGAAATATATTGATGAGGAACAAAAAAACTAGGACTAGAACGTAATTTATTTAGCTTAATATATGATAAGACGGGGGTGAACCTTACATGGATCTTAAAATTGAGCATCGGTAAAAACATTTGTGAAGTTCCGCTGATCCAGATGTGAACTTTAACCCCATATGTGAAAGGGAAAATAGGTCAATGACAAGGTAAGTTTTATACTTTTAAACTTTTATGTAAAATTCAAAGCTCTTTTGAAGTAAATCGAAATGTAATACTACGCCCCTAACTTTCCTTGATATTTACCCATTTAAGCTGCAGCTTTCGTCGAGATAAGCTTTCGTCGTGAGTTATCTTGTATCCGAAACAAAATGCAATACGTGCGATGAATGTCAATAAACGGACTCAAAATAGATTTTTTACGAATAAGTACCACCGAGCAATTGAAATAAATCATTATGGAAAACATTCTTGATATTTGGCACAAATAAAGGAATCGCTCGCCAAATTCCAGTCAGGCTTCATATGTATTGAAGAGATCCATAGTTGATATATCAAACCGTCTACAAAAATTCGGATCACTTCCATATAAACATTAAAATAACCAATCTAAAGGGACAAATAAAATAAGGCTTTATATCTTAGGCTGAAAGTTCACTTGTAAAATTAATATGTTTGATTTTTAAATATCACTACATCAAAAGGTTATATATATGAGCCGCGTCACGACATAACCAACATAATCGGTTTGCGACCAGCATGGATCCAGACCAGCCTGCGCATCCGCGCAGTCTGATCAGGATCCATGCTGTTCGCTATCAGGTTCTCTACTTGTTATAGGGTCTGTAAGCGAACAGCATGGATCCTGATCAGACTGCGCGGATGCGCAAGCTGGTCTGGATCCATGCTGGTCGCAAAACCATTATGTTGGTTTTTTCGTGACGCGGCTCATATGATGTTAGAACTAGAAATACAAAATGTAATAAAAAAAAAAACATTTAAAAATGTTGACGCAAAGCGAATATTTCTCTTACGTTAAGTAATTTCGCAAATATTTTCCCTCTGAGGAAATGTAACTTTGACAACCGTGACTGTGATTTATTGAACAGTCGACAAATGAAAGTGACAATTTTTTGTAAAGCTATCGTATAACACATTTTCCTATAGAATTATTCAAATTCATAAACATATCAATCTCTTAAAGATCCCATAAGCGATAAGATATGCTATTCTTCGAAGCGATTTATATTGACATGGTTAACGTGTTCCATTCGTCGATATTACGAGGTATGTTTAAAAGGTTCGTGGACTTTTGCTATCATTTTTATGCTCCCCGAAAAAATCTCACGGAAGGACTGAAGGATGGACGGACAAGGGTAAAATCTAAATGCCCCCCTTAAAGTGGGGAAACAAAAACAAAAAACAAACAAACAACAATTACTACTATTACTACGTTGTATTCAGAAGTAAATTATATGAAGTAAATAGCTATAAATAAGAATTTCTCATAAAGTCACGCAATGCACATAGCTACCGTTTCAATACTTTCATGTTAAAGATACCAGTGGACTGTGGACATGTCTTACAACTACAAACATACCTATTTCACTTTTTAATTAAAGGATAGGTTGTTGCAAATTGATAAACAGTATCTGCATGACTTATACTATTAACATAAATGTATAAGAAACATGTCCAAAAATAAAGTTCAGCAATAAAAACATCGTCGATGGTACACCTGAAATGAAATACCATAAGGAGCATTGATAAACTGTGAAAATTTTCAAGAACCAACTCAATTCTAATCTTAAATTATTACAGTAGTCTAAAATGAACAAATTTGATTGTCACTAAACTCAAATTTTCGGCTCTGAGAAAAATGGAAACACAGTTTGACATTTTTTATTTAAACAGGAGAGGCAGCAGGATACAACAATAGCTGTCACAGGAGACAGTAAAGCTCGACTAATAAAATACTGGAAGCATTAAGGAAGACAAAACTATGAAAGAAAAATCAATTATGTATAATTATGTATTAAGTTATAGTAAAAAAATAACATTGTTAACAGAAATTTCAAGATCAAGGGGAATAATTCTAGAAATAGTCACGCTAGAGTTATGAACCTTGTCACACAAATGAAGTACATACCTTAAAAAGTACAGAAGTTATACTATATCTTAAAGAAAATCCTAAGTTCAAAGAGAGATAAATATGTAAATATTGCTTCAATTGTTATGAACATTGTCACATAAAATGTAATTGATGATAAGGAATAAGTATTTGGTGGTTGAGGTAGATACCTTTAAAACTAAAAAAGTTATAGTTAAAAATAACGTTTTTCTAGTAAAAAATCTAAGTTTATGGGGAGATAATTCTTGAAATATTGGTGCTAGAATAATGAACCTTGTCACATAACATGTGGTTAATGATAAGGTACATATATTTGAAGTATGAAGTTGATCCCTTAAGAAATAAATAAGTAACAGTAAAAATATTTTTTTTTGAGAAAAATTCTAAGTTCAAGGGGAGATATGCTTAAAATATTGGTGCTCGAGTTATGAACCTTGTCAAGTAAGATGTGGATGATGATAAGGTACATATATTTGAAATATGAAATTGATCCCTTAAGAAATAAAGAAGTAACAGTACAAAAACTATTTTTTAAGGAAAATTCTAAGTTTAAGGGGAGATATGTCTGAGAATATTGGTGCTAGAGTTATGAACCTTGTCACATAAGATGGGGATGATGATAAGGTACATATATTTGAAGTATGAAGTTGATCCCTTAAGAAATAAAGAAGTAACAGTAAAAAAAGTATTTTTTTAAGGAAAATTCTAAGTTCAAGGGGAGATAAATCTGAAAATATTGGCGCTAGAGTTATGAACTCTGTCACATAAGATATGGTTAATGATAAGAAACATATATTTGAAGTATGAAGTTGATCCCTTCAGTTATAAAGAAGTTATAGTAAAAAATAGTATTTTTAGGAAAATTCTAAGTTCAGGGGGAGATAAATCTGAAAATATTGGTTCTAGAGTTATGAACCTTGTCACATAAGATGTGGTTGATGATAAGGTACATATATTTGAAATATGAAATTGATCCCTTAAGAAATAAAGAAGTAACAGTACAAAAATTATTTTTTAAGGAAAATTCTAAGTTTAAGGGGAGATATGTCTGAGAATATTGGTGCTAGAGTTATGAACCTTGTCACATAAGATGGGGATGATGATAAGGTACATATATTTGAAGTATGAAGTTGATCCCTTAAGAAATAAAGAAGTAACAGTAAAAAAGTATTTTTTAAGGAAAATTCTAAGTTCAAGGGGAGATAAATCTGAAAATATTGGCGCTAGAGTTATGAACCCTGTCACATAAGATATGGTTAATGATAAGAAACATATATTTGAAGTATGAAGTTGATCCCTTCAGTTATAAAGAAGTTATAGTAAAAAATAGTATTTTTAAGGAAAATTCTAAGTTCAGGGGGAGATAAATCTGAAAATATTGGTTCTAGAGTTATGAACCTTGTCACATAAGATGTGGTTGATGATAAGGAACATATGTTTGAAGAATGAAGTTTATCCCTTCAGAAATAATGAAGTAACAGTAAATAATAGTCTTTTTTAAGGAAAATTCTAAGCTCAAGGGGAGGTAAATCTGAAAATATTGGTTCAAGAGTTATGAACCTTGTCACATAAGTTGTGGTTGATGATAAGTAACATATATTAGAAGTTGATACCTTAAGAAATGACAAAGTTATAGTGAAAAATATTTTACTGCACCAAAACTTTAATTTGAAATCTGGACACGGACGCCGACGCCGAGCATGCTCTTTGACTTATACTTGAAACATGTAAGAACAACTTCCGTTGTAAACTGACAAGTCTTTCGTTTTCGTACCTAGTTTTTTTTGTATCATTAGACATTGTTTTTGTCAACTGTTTATGCTTAATAATTGTTAATATGAATTATGTTTTTGTCTTCATTTCGTCGATTAGACAACTGAAGGATTATTTTTGATTCTGACTGATTTTTACATATATATATACTGAAACAAAAAAGAAACTTTCGCCAAGTTTGAATGTAGATATGTTAGTACAGTTTTTCAATCCTTTTGAAACTCGATTTTTATGTTGAATAAACATATCAGGCTTTTATACGGGGATTAGCTGACCGATTTTGCAAACAAAACGAGTTTTACAAGCTACTAAATGTTTATATGTGTGTACATCTAAGTGGTACCCTTGAACAACTGGCACATACTTTGCGAAAGTTTCTTTTTTGGTTCAGTATATGTCTATTTAATGTCTGTAAATTATTATAAATTTGTTACATATATTATGCTCTTTAATCATGGCGGAATAAAGGATTTTACATCTAGTATGTGGACATTGCTGGCTGTATCCCGGCTACTCTAACAAGCTGTTTATCTCTTAAACCAATAGTAAAATCAAAATGTAGGACATATACCTATACTTGATCCTTCTGCTGAAACTATTCCGTCAGACACAGTCAGACGGTTCATTACAGTTGCAGTGAAACTGTCGTCTGCTCGCCTTCGTACAGCATGCCTAATACTTCGCTTCCGTTTGTTACAAGTCGTCTGCATGAAAAGAAAAAAAAGAAGGATTTTTTCATTATAACTCAATTCAAACGCAATTCTTACTTTATGTTTATTGACGTTCTAAACTTACTGCAAAGTACTTCTAGCCGATAATATAAATAAAAGTTGTCGGAGCAAACATAACGTCTTTCAATTTAATCAAAAGTATCAAACGGATTTAATACAAAAGTAACCACCAATTCTGCTGAAAGAAAAAGACAAATATAGATTTTCAACAATGGAGCTTACTCTTAAGATTGCATTATTATAATCCCCCAATGAATGTAGAAGTTCAGCTCCGAACAAGCATCTTTCAATATCATCTATGTGTCATCTTAACCTTTAACTTAGAGACCTGGCTCATGCACGTGACACTGCTTCTCATAGTGGTGAACGTTTCTATGAAGTTTCATTAGTCTGCCTCAATGCGTGGAGGAGATATGCTCTGGACAAAATTTCTATATTTTATCATCTTTAGTGAGCTTGACCTTGCATATATTAACCAAAATTACACGTTTCACACCATTAATTATGATAATGACCATTTTTGTTTCAATCGCTAAATTAATGATTACTAAATGGTCCGAATATACATTTTCATATTTTTATCTGAACTTTGACCCCTTGTGTAAACCTGACCTTGGCGGCAGTGACCTAAATTTTGCACGTGACATTTGTGCCAAGTTTTATTGAAATCCTTCCATGCATGTAGAAGTTTTGCTTCGGAAAAGCGTTAACTTTTTAAATGGCCTCTTAGTGTTACATAGACCTTTGACCTGGAGACCCAGATCATGCGCAAGACACTCTTTGTTATAGTGGTGAACATTTATATACAGTTTCATTAGAATCCCTTTATATGTGTAGGAGATATGCTCTTGACCACATCTCTATACTTTATCATCTTCAACTGAAAATATTTTTTTCAGATAAATGTACCAGTTGATGTAAGTTTAGACCACTAATCTTTGTGCAAAATTTCAGATCATTCATGCACTTCGTTTTTCCAGAATAATTATTCAATATTGTAAAAATATGACCAAAAATGAAAAGCGTTTAAACGCTTTTCACACAAATTGAGCTAAGAAAAGCATAAAAAATACGATTTTCAATTGATTTCGAAGTATATTTCTTGACTATCTTTGCATATATTTCAGTTTAAAGTGACCTTGACTATCATTTTAGTGACCTTGACCTTGCATATATTAACCTGAATTAGATGTTTCACACCAGTAGTCATTGTTATGACCATTTGTGTTTCAATCCCTCAATAACTAATGACTGAATGGTCCGAATACACATTTCATGTTAATCTGAACTTTGACTCTTGTGTGTGACCTAGACATTGGCCGCAGGGACCTAAAATTTGCACGCCACACTCTGCCTCACAATTGTGAACATTTGTGCCAAGTTATATTGATATCCCTCTGTGCATGTCGGGCAAACGTTTAAATGACCGCTAAGTGTGACAAAGACCTTTGACATAGAGACCTGGTTCATGCGCGATACGGCTTTTCACAGTGGTGAACATTTCTATGAAGTTTCATTAAAATTCTTTCATGCGTATAGGAGATATGCTCTGGGCAAAAATTGAACGCCACCCGTCCGCTGCCCGCCCAGCCGCCCGTTTGCCAGGGGGCGGGGGGGGGTGTTATAATACGACCCGTTATTTTAAACAGCCTTTTTTCAGACAGCCGTATAAGAAATTAAATTTATTTGCAGCATCACTTAAGAGCTTTGTCAGACTGCACGCACGTGCAGGTTGTAATGGCTGATCAGTTATGGCTCCAGCATGTTAAAGATTAAACTTATACTTACAGTACATGCGGCAGTCCCTGAACTAGGACAAACCTTGACGTCACATCTCAAAATGATGCTATCATATCCATAGAACTTAAATGCACTTAATAGAGCGACAACCTTTCCCGGTGAACCGTCTTCAAAGCTGCTGATGAGCTCCGTATTTATAGTACACCTTTGTATTAATAGAATACATTTACATTAGATGTATGTAAACATAACTTTGATAATAATAAAGCCAGATATTTTATATAATTATCTAATATTCATTTTTTTCTCACAGAATAGCATTTTACTCATACATACATGTATTAATGCATCGGTAATACGCTTGGAATTGATACTAAACAAGATTTAAATGATCCCAAAACTGAGCTCAATAAAGGAACTATACCTGTTGACTTTACAGAAGACACGAGAAATTACGGTGGCCATGAATCGGACGCTTCTTTATTTAATACATTGCAATGATATAGCAAAAAAAGTTCCCACGACATATTTATCTTGTTTCAACCATAAATAGAAATTATTTTAGTTCGATTGTTTTGGAAGCTTAAGCTTATTGAAACACTTTTGAATCCGTTCCTGGAACCAACCAGTACTCAGAAATTAGAGTAGAGTCTCTTGCTCACAGAAACAACGGGGTTTGAACTCACGCGGCCAACAATCCATCCGACGCGTTAACCACTCAGCCATTCTACATGTACAATCTCTATTGCAATTATCAATCAAAATCCTTTAAAACATTTCTAAACTTATGTTTTACTACTTTAATCTATTTTTAATTTATAGCATACAAGTACATAATCAAAGTTGATTAAAATGATATTGCACATCAACAACCACAAAAGAAAATAACACTCAGAGGCGTCAGTCTAAAATACATTGTATTTGAATTACCAAAAAAAATGTGAAAAAATGACAATCATCATATAAATATAACATTACAGAAATTCTAATGTTTATAGACAATTTTTAATGAAGTAAAGGCACACTAAATATTAAACTCACCCATCATTTGAGATAAGATTTACAGAACTAACACCACTATCCGATGTATCTGGTTTTCCCGTACACGCAGTTACTTTAAGAGTGTATTCAGCTGATCGTAAAAAAGTAAATGAAACAATATGTTGTAGCTAGATAGGAAATAAAAATGTCAACAACGCTATCATTAATTAAATATATATACATTATAACTAAAATATCTAGTTATAAAACTTTACTCCTTTCAAAGAGAGCAATTTCTATGGTTAAAGAATTTAAGATGACAATGTCGACTTTTAAATCGATCAGCTTAGAACTTGTAAAACCAACTAACACAAGAGTCGGTTGAACCGGGGGATGCTCCCGAATAGGTTTTGGACACAGAAAAGTATAACTCCTGACTCCTGTAGTTTCAGAATTATGTCCCGGACAAACTTTCACCTTTCAGAATATTGACACAAGAGATTGTACTATAATAACCAATGTTGGGTGGCTTACGATCATAAACACTAGAAACAACAAGTTACTTATGATTATTTAAAGCAGCATGCCACCAGATTCATGTTAATTTTCATGAAATATTGTAATAAATACTGCAAATCGCACATAAAAATACTTAATGTCATGAATCTTTTTCTTTTTTAAATAACACAACAAAAAATGAAGAACATACCGGGAAAAAGTATGTTCCAAGCTACAGGGTCACCAACCTCGGAATATGTTGAATTCAATGAAGAGGTCAAGGTATAGGAACTCTCCACGCTCTCATCACTATCAATCTGTAGGCTTAATTAAAGAAAAAACATACTGTGATTTCTTTTCATAACCGACACAATCAAACAAATGATGAAACTGATTGTTATTATTTGGGTCGATAGAAACAATAAGGGAAATTACAAGACTTAAATGAACAAAGTTCCTCAGATCTTTTATTACGTATTGTTCAAACAAGATGGATCATTGAAACCTTATAACACCATTTTTCCATTTTAACCATTTCAATAAGAGAATTTCCCCGATAAATTATAATACATACATTCATAACATTAATAAAACATACAAATTTAACACTGAGACCAGAGCGGTATGTAGACTAGGCAATGTATTCCAAAATGTAAATGTAGCTTACGAAAATAGCAAAATGAATCAAATTTGAGAAGACTATTAAAAGATATCTATCTATCCTGTCTAAAAAAACTGACATTAGTGACCAAGTATTAATAGCAAAATTATCTCTCTGGCTTTCCAAAGAACACAGTTGCTCACTTAAACCGTTTACTGTGACATATCTTTAAGTAGAGAACCAATGAGTACTTAGTACATCATTTCAATGCAGTTTGAAAAATTAAATTATTCACGAGCAGACAGACAGAGGAACGTCCTAGTAAATAGGCTGGGCTCGGTTCCTTTTGTTACTGTTCTATGATGAATTTGAAAAAAAACTAGAACTGCCACTGTCATGGCGTGAATACCCCCGCATATCACTTCGTCAGAATCAACAGTGGCCATTTAGAGCTCAAGGACAACCTCCCTGCCAAATCTGAGGTTACTAAGCCAGTGCATTGCTAAGTTATGCGGACAGGCATTCTTAAGCATTTGAGCAGACAAACTTATTACAGTAAAAATTCCTGTGACCTTGACCTTTGACACAGTCAACTAAAAATCAATAGGGGCCATCTACTAGTCATTTACAACCTCAATATCAAATATGAAGACTGTTGACCAAAGAGGGGAAAAGCTTTCTTAGTCAAGTCCCTGTGACCTTGACCTTTGTCCCAGTGACCTCAAAATCAATAGGGATCACCTAATGGTCATGTTCAATCACCATGTCAGATATGAAGACTGTGGGTCAAAGGTTTCTTAATTTATTGGGCGGACAAACTTTTTAAAGTCAAAACCCCTGTGACCTTGAACTTTGCCCAAGTGACCTCAAAATCAATAGGGATAACCAACTAATCATGACTAACCTCCATGCAAGATATGAAGACTGCGGGTCAAAGGAAACTTAAGTTATTGGGCGGACAACCTTTTTTTAGTCAAGGCGCATGTGACCTTGACCTTTGACCCAGTGACCTCAAAATCAATAGGGGTCACTTCTAATCATGACTAACCTTCATGCCAAATATGAAGACTGTGGGTCAAAGGAATCTTAAGTTATTGGGCGGACAAGCTTTTTTAGTCAAGGCCCATGTGACCTTGACCTTTGACCCAGTGATCACACAATCAATAGGGGGTCATCTACTAATCATGACTAACCTCCATGCCAAATATAAAGACTGTGGATCAAAGGTTTCTTAAGTTATTTGGCGGACAAACTTTCTTAAGTCAACGTCCCTGTGACCTTGACCTTTGACCAAGTGACCTCAAAATCAAAAGGGGTCATCTACTTATAATGACTAACCTCTATGCCTAATATGAAGACTTTGGGTAAAAGGAATCTTAAGTTATAAGGCGGACAAACTTATTGAAGTCAAAGTCCCTGTGACCTTTACCTTTGACCCAGTGACCTCAAAGTCAATAGGGGCCATATAATAATCATGACTAACGTCCATCCCAAATATGAAGACTGTTGGTCAAAAGTTTCTTAAGTTTTTGGCGGCAAACTTTTTGAAGTCAAAACCCCTGTGAACTGGACCTTCGACCCCAAAATCATAAGGGGTCACCTACTTATCATGACAAATCTCCATGCCAAATATAAAATTGTTGGTCAAATAAACTTAAGTTATTTGGCGGACAAGCTTTTTAAAGTCAATGCCCCTGTGACCTTGACCTTTGACAAAGTGACCTCAAAATCTATAGGGGTCATCTACTAATCATGACTAACCTTCATGCCAAATATGAAGACTGTGGATCAAAGGTTTATTATGTTATTGGGTGGACAAGCTTTTTTTAGTCAAAGCCCCTGTAACCTTGACCTTTGACCCAGTGACCACAAAATCAATAGGGGTCATCTACTAGTCAAGACTAACCTCCATGCCAAATATGAAGCTGTGGGTCAAAGGAATCTTAAGTTATTGGGCGGACAAGGAAAAACTGACGGATGGCCGGACGTCCGGACGGATACGCTGATTCCAGTATACCCCCCTTACAACTTCGTTGTGCGGGGTTATAAATACAAACAAGAGCTATCAGTAGGACATCACGATCAATTTGTGCCAGAAGAAGATTTCATGCACAAAAATACAATTAATGTACGGGACATAGTCTTGAAAAGTGACCTTGAATTGTAATTAAAAAAAGCATGAATAAAGTTTAGAATAAATACAATCACTAGTTTTCGCAAGATGTACGAGTATGTTACAAGCAAAATTTTAGCCGAACATTTTTTACATTCACAAAGGACAACAATTAAGTCAAAAGACACGTACGTATTTCATTTGCAAATAAAAAATGTGGATTCAATAATCACAACATCATGCGCTTGTTTTTAAGCTTGCTCTACAGCTCTTTGAATCAACAAGAATATACATCAAGAATATTCTTTTAAATTAGACAAATGACAAAGAAAACGTGTTTGCATGAAAAAAAAAACCCTGATATTTTACCCATAAGTCTAGTAAAGTGATTTCTTGTACTGAGGTTACGTGATTGCGTTCGTCAAATGATTACCATCTAGGAAAAAGAGTTTGTAAAACTTACACAGCAATTAAAGAGCTATTTATAGAATGAACAACACCCTCTTCGGGAATCTCGACGCATGTGATCTTTAAGGATGTTCCCGTGTGAAGTTTGTAAGATTCTATCCCTGGGTATGTGCCATGTGTTAATATAATAGGATCATCCTGAAAATAACATCACAAAACAATTTATTCTTGTATATCAAAAAGGTTATTCAATATTAAATTTCTGTCGAAAGTAACAAAGTCCATGAGACGATGGAAACACCGCTCCAAGTGTAGTTATTACGGTTATCAAACTTCAGTGAGAGCGAACACAGTTTATTTTCTCACTGAGTGACCCTGGCACCAGACCTTCAAGTTGTCAGTTAGTGTTTTTCATGATACAAATACATATGCTTTTGTTTGTCGATACAAATTGATATTATCACCAAAAACTATGTATTCGCTCTTAGATCCTTTCTATAAATTAAACAGAGATAGACCAGCATAAAAAACGTAAATGCATGGTTTTAATGAAAATATAAGAAAGTAAAATGACTTTATGATTTTAATAATTGTAGGAAAAAGACATTTAAGTTGAAGCTCTGTTGTCAGTGATGAGCCCTATAATTCCATGTATACTGTGTATTGAAACAACTACATTTCATATGTACGAAAGACCGGTAGGATCATTTCAACTTCATGAATTCCCGATTTCATCTTCATGAATTCACAATTTTAACTTCATGATTTCACGTTTTGAACATACGGAATTCACGAATTCCCGATTTCAGTAATAGATAATACAAAAATATTAACTCGTTGAAATTTCAATGAACTGTGCTGAAAAGATATTCACTACATAATAGCCACACATTTAATAAACTTCTGTGAAATGAGTATTTCATGCTATTTTTAGAAGTACGCACACAATTATCTAAAGTGTTTATAGTGCTGATAACAACAGTTCATATCTTATATTGCATTTGTCAAAACCTGCCGATAGGACACAACAAGAGCTGTTCGTTTAGCGACAAGTTCGATTTTTCTCAGTACTATAGATAGAATAATAAAAACAGGGTACAAAATGGGTTAAGGTAAGGCAGAAATACCTGCCCTGGATAGTAGTTTGAACTGATGAGTATTTGTAAAAGCTTTAGGGAATATTATATTTTTGCGTGCGTACAAAAAGCAAACTTTAGAGGCATTCAAAGTCTTAAAATGTACATTCGTGATTTTGGAAATACATGTAGATAGTAGTGGTGCACAAGGTCAGAGGCAAAACATGAAAGGAAAATCGGTCGAATATTAGATAAAGGTCTCATCGGAGTGCACATTTTTTTCTCAATTTCTTTTGAAATTGTACATATGCATAAATTGACGTTATTTACTATTGTCTTTACTTTCAATGAATTTCTGTTGTGTTTATTACAATAATTATCATCTAGCTTTAATTGACACAAACATATTCCCGAAATGGATTGAAATTGCTTTCATTGCTTATCAACCAAAACGACTTCATAAAGGGATGTAAAAGGTATTACTTCGAGTAGATGAGTCTGTATCAAGGTAATAGCTATATTAGTAAGGCAGACGAAAACTTAACCAAATACGTGTAAATTAACAATCGCTGCTGAGACATTTCTTTCTTACTTCACATGTTTTCCGCGCTTTGTCAAAAGTTGTAAAAATACTTGGAAATTGGCAAAATATTTCAAATTTTTCCACATATATTATATCACACATTTATCTAAGACAACAAATAGAGTTACCTTATTACATCCTGTGATTTTAACTGAGGTTGCATCTAAATTCGAGACAGTACACGTTGTGTAGGTACCCGTTGTGTTTTGTATAGCAAGGTAGTATGAATCCTTCGGTAAATTGTACACTTCTATCGTGTTGTTGGGAAAACAAACTGGTAGTAATAAAGAAATATGTTAATGAATGAATTTTAACCTTCACTTTGATACTAAATCACGGCAATTTTAAGTGCTACAAAATATATACGTTCAACAATTTCTTTTTCTCTATTAGTTTTGAGTGCTAATATATGCATTTAACCGGTGAATATATATTATACGTATATAACCATTCATGAAATTATACGGCAAACCAATGCTATAAAACGGAGGTATTAAATTAGAAATGATATTAAATTATATTGTACACCAGTCTATTATTATATAAAAATATTTCATAAGGAGAATGTAATAAAAAAGTACTAGTAATGCATACACACGCTATAAAATGGAGGTATAATATAACGCGAAACAAGATCACCGCAAAGGCAATATACGCCCCAATGAAAATTTGTTAATAGTAATGAAAAATAATATTTCAATAAATGTAGAGACCGAATCAAGAAGCTTTTCTTAAAATGTTTTCTCACTTATCTCCATGACACTATATGACCTTAAAGGTTGAGGCATTTTTTACCTACTTTGTGTATTTGCGTTTATTTATACTCGCCACCGGTTGCCCATATGGGCGAGTCCTCCAGAAGAGTATTAGTCATTTTATTTTTTGGAGGATAGTGCAATTACAGATACAGAAAGATGCCCCAATTCCAGAAGCTTCCCCTGGTTCTTTATCGTGCCAAGTGTTTAAGCACCCATACACGGGACCTCGATTTAAAGTCTCATCCGAAAGACTGATTATAATAAAATGGAAATATAATGTATACCAATATTAGAAGAAAGTATAATATAATAAAGGGGAATGGACTTGAAAACAAAGGTATACCAATTTTGCATTGTGACAGAGTAATTTAATAAAGGGAATGAAATGAAAATATACAGCATACCAATTCTATACGACGAATCCCCGCCTGATGGAGAAGCCATTATTTTTTGGTCAGGCTTTTTGATCTCGGTGACTGTCTGGTGAGTTGCTGTTAATAAACAGACTGGAGTATTATTGTTGAAATTATCAATTGCCTCGACAAGACCGGTGCAAAGAGTTAAAAGTATTAATTCAATGAAAGAGTTCCTCACTCATTTAAGTTCTTCGCAAATCATTCACTTTATGTTAATATATTCACGAAAGAATTGTTGTGTAATGGCACGTATCTATAATACAAAACTATTGTATATAAGATAACACATTATATTTAAACTTATAAAGGCAAAGTACTATTTGATTTTTTTTTCTTCTAAAAAAATATATTTTACACAATCAATGTTTTCAACCGGTATAATGAACTGTTATATGAGAACACTTTTGAATTTATAATGACAGTCATACATGGCAACCACAGTTATTTGACCTTGGTTTCGTTAAATACGAAAGTGATCAAATTAGACACAGTGTCAATGTCAGATACAGGATATTTATGCAATTTTAATAACATTTTGTGCAAAACACTATGTTTTACAACATTGCACTTTTATATCTAATTATAAAAAAGGTCAATATGTAGAGTATAACTATGGGCAAGTATTGCCCTTTGACCACTGAACTTTGACCCAAAGACTTGGTTATTACGTCTAATGATTGGCATCACTTGTCAAAGTGGTGATAACTAAAATATAGATATTCATAATCAAATATTTAATGCATGTAGAAGATAATAGTTCAGACAAATTCTTGACATATCATTGACCTTGTCAAGTTGACCTTGCATATATATTACCTTGATAATGCTGGAACCACTAAGTGTCATAATTGTAGACGTTTTACACATAATATGTTCATTTAAAACTACAAAGTTGTGCATTATCGCAATCATAATCTAACTTATGACATCAGAATGTGACCTTGACCTACGCCACACGGACCTAAAATTTACAAGAGACAAAGGCAGGAAAACAGCAAAATTATAATGCAAAACGAAAAACTTACAACTGTCATCTCCAACTGTAGTGGGCATTGTAAATTCAATATCTATTGTAGGTATAAAAACTGTGCCTGTAGTAATTCCATCTATAGTAGGCACTGGGCCTCCAATGGTAGGCGGTCCACCTATGACATGTACAACGTTATATATTAGATCTTCTAAAAAACATTATGATTGACACTAAAAATAATCAATGAAAGTTTGTTTTTAAATGTTCTTGCCCTACATATATGTATATGATGTTAGAGGGAAAGATAAAGTTACATATATATAAGCATACTTTCAAAAATGTAGTGCATACAAGAAAGATTTGTCAATGTACTCTGTAACAAGAAAATTACAAATAAACTGCAAAAATCCGCAGTGAAGTGAAACATTATATATAGATAAGTGTTAAACTTGATCAATCTTAATAGTTTTAACAATTCATAGTGAATTGTAACAATGTCTTATATTACATTTGGTATATTATTTAATATGTATTTTGTAGTGTTTTTTTTTTTTTAATTTTTTTTTTTAGTTATATAAATGTTTTAGGTCATGTAAATATTTTGTTAAAAAATTAATTTGTGACGACATTTATATGTTACACAATACAATACAAGCGAGTTTTTATGCACGTGTAAAATGACTGCTAAGGAATGGTCAGTTGTGCAGTGCATACCGAATAAAATGCTACCTAGACGAATGCGCAGTTGTTGAAATTCAAAGTGAAGTGTTACGGCACGAAAATTCAATTACGTCCGTACTAGTAGTACTCGTTTTGTACTGTAACAGGACGGGTACGCTTCAGTCTATGTCGTAATATGCCATGTGTCTAATTTATATATAGGCATGCAGTGTTGCTCGTAATAGTTTATTATTATGCCTTGAAAATAGATTAATTATATCCCGATTATACGATACATAAACTTTTAATAAGCAAGTGACCACTGATAAAACATAACATTTGGGCATCAATGTAATATTAACACATTAATTAAAGGCACCAGACACATTACCAAATTTAACCAAAATAAAACAGCACACGTGTGACCTCGCTTTACAATATAAAAGGCGGCTATTTAAGTTTTTTTAAACTAGAACTGTGTCAGCACGGCACTATCCAAGTCATCCCAAAAGAAAAATACAAAACTTAATAATACACTTCTATAAAACGAATCTGTTTTCTACTGTCTAATAGTCAACGAATTAATCGCCATACTATAATGCGGGTTTGCATCTGTGGAACCCGGCCAAAAATGTAAATAAAAATGTTTTGCAGCGAAGCAAGAAATTTAAAATTGGCCATGAAGTATAAAGCTGATGAATGTGAATATTTCTATGAACTAAGTCTTGTTCATGTCATACCGCAGTAAATCATGCGTCTTATTCAAAATCATCTAAAAATGAAAAAACTTTATACATGTATCATGCATGGGTGTCATGATAATGCTCTACAATATTGACATGCAATTAACACTAGATCTGCCACTGTCATGGCGTCCCCGCATACCACTTTGTCATATTCAACAGTGGCCATTTAGAACGCAAGGACAACCTCCCTGCCAAATCTGAGGTTACTAAGCCAGTGCTAAGTTATATATTCTACATGCTTCAAATGTGAAAATGTCAAAATCAATACACTGCGGACAGCAATTCTTAAGCAACTGAGGGAAAAGGGTTTTTTTTAAAGTCAAGGTCCCTGTGACCTTGACATTTGACTCAGTGACCTCAAAATCAATAGGGGTCACCTTATGGTCATGATCAATCTCCATGCCAAATATGAAGACTGTGGGTCAAAGGAATCTAAAGTTATCGGGCCGAAAAGCTTTTTTAGTCAAAGCCCCTGTGACCTTGACATTTGACCCAGGGACCTTAAAATCAATGAGGGTCACATACTAATCATGACTTACCTCCATGCCAAATATGAAGACTGTGGGTTAGAGGAAACTAAAGTTATCGGGCCGAAAAGCTTTTTTAGTCAAAGCCCCTGTGACCTTGACCTTTGACCCAGTGTCCTCAAAATCAATAGGGGTCATCTACTAATCATGACTAACCACCATGCCAAATATGAAGACTGTGGGTCAAAGCATTCTTAAGTTATTGGGCGGACAAACTTTTTTGAATTCAAAGTCCCTGTGACCTTGACTTTTGACCCAGTGACCTCAAAATCATAAGGGGTCATCTACTAGTCATGTCTTACCTCTATGCCAAATATGAAGACTGTGGGTCAAAGGAATCTGATGTTATTGGGCGGACAAGGAAAAACCGACGGACGGCCGGACAGACGACGGACAAGCTGATTCCAGTATACCCCCTTACAACTTTGTTGTCGGGGGGTATAATAAAGATATGTTTTACTACAAACATGCAAAAATGGAGAAAATAAATCTGCAGCCCATATACTCTATTGTTACAAGTACTGAGAGGTTACTTTATTATTGAAACAAAGTTTAAATGGTGACATTTTTCTGCCAAATAATTGAAGACTTTTTATTGTACAGTAACACCCCACATGCTTGCAATTCTCGAGAGTAGAGATTATTTTCACAAGTATTCTTTCGTCTATGTATATATCAGTGCTTTAAACTTAATTAAAGTCTCATCGATACATAATAACATATAAAATAGTAAAATTACATAATTTGAGAAGAGAAAAGTAGTTTGTGTACGGCCATTCTATTTTGAATTACACAAGACAATGAATAGCAATATTATAATGTAAGGGAGACAACTCTCCAGGTTCACACTTCACTGATTTCCAATAAACACTGCAGGGTTACCGCTCGTACATATTGCAACGAAAATGATCTTGTTTTTGTTTGTTTGCTTGTTTAATTTTACGCCTTTTCCCAACAGTATTTCAGTCATATAGACGGGTAGTTTCCTAACCATCGTTCCTGGAGAGTTACACCAGTACTAGACTACATTCCTCCGCGCTAAACTACCAAAGCATCTTCCGGGGATCAAACCCACGCCAGAGAGGTAACTGGATTAGAAGTCATCGACTCTAACCCCTCGACCACGGAAGCGGTCCAAAATGATCTTGTAAATCACCAAACTCACCACAGTGATTACCTCCCTTGGCAGACTGATAAGGGGAGATCACTGCGTAGAATATTGGTAAATCACATTAACCTGACTTATTACCTCCAGGTGACTCTGTCTCAGGTGTGTAACTATCAGTTGTTGTTGTTGTTGTTGTTGTGGTTTCATCACAGAAGTTAGAACCTTTAAAAACTGTAAGTTAAAACACATATTTTTCATCAACGAGCAAAACAGAAAGAAAATGTCAACCAAGATCTTTATTGTACATCAAATTGAAAGAAATGAATTATGGCATACGGTTGCTGAGACATTAAACTTAAAACTTCATCCAACATATTTCCATGACAATGTTTATTTTTCAATGTTTTTATCTGATTTCAATTTTATTTGATTCCTAGACCTTTTTAGAACTTATATGTACTTGAGACGTACTTGTTTTTAATCTGAATTGCTGTTTAGATGATAATTAGAGGAAACTAATTTTCGCTAACTGGGAAACCCCTGTATGTAGTACAACTACATTTCAAACACATTTATAACATCTTAAAGTTGTCAAATCTACATGGCATAGCATTCTCCGAACTTCGATATATTTGGTGTAAAGTTTTCAAAATATATAAAAAATGACAACCGTTTACCTTTGTTGACACCTACTTTTAGCCGGAAGTAGCAATAGAGTGATAGCTCTATCGTTTACCAGGCGTAAAAATGGCATGTGATTATGCGATAAAAATACATACGGTGTCACATAGACTAGAGAAGTGCCAAACTTGTTAATCAGCTCGCCCCTAGATTTATTTTTTTAACTGAAGTCTATGACATTACCCCCCAAAAAATACCTTCGTCATAATTTACAGTAAAGCTTGGAGGCTTTGTTATTTGTTGTATTTTTGGAAACATTTCATCTTCAATGAGAGCATTTTGTAAATCGCTGTCCTTGATCGTTTCTTCAATAAGTGATAAATGTGTTTTTGGTACTGAAAAAAAAATAAAAATTATTGATATAATATATAATACTAGAAATAGTTACATCAACAATGATAATTATTTCGTAGAATTGAAATCTACCCCGCTGTATTAGACAACTCACTTGATAACATTACAGTTACTTGGCATTATCAGAGATGCAGATAAAATCTCTGTAAGTCACGTGCTTCAAGTAATGGTTGAAAGTTAAAAACAAAGCCGATTCAGACAGAAGAGCACGTTTAACGAACCAAAAGAGATTACCAGAGATGGTTCTGATTTTATCGACAACGGACAATTAATCATTCTGTTTTATGTTTCGAAGAACGAAGCAAATTACTGGGACAGAAATTATCCTGTTAAAATGTTGTGTTTTAAATCGGTAAATTTAAATCTTAAGGTATAAACGGTTCCTTTAAGTTCATAAGCTGTTTGTTCGTGACAGTATCACCAGTTTATATCTTAATGTAGATGTACTCAATATAAAAATGTGTCCTGTATCTTTAGTATCGGAATTTCAAGAATTGGACCATTAATGTCAACATACATTGTCATCAGAGCATAACTACCCGACAGTGTATATAGTCCATAGGTCAGCCGGCGTATGAATGTATAACTAAATGTAACTCACATACCTTTCTGACATATGAATGGCCCCTTTGTCTCCGTACAACCAGTATGTGAATTCCACATATAATGATATTTATGGAGATAATCAACGCATCCCTTAATGGTTCCCGGTAAACCAGGCGCCCATTTTGTGAAATTAAGCGGGGAACCATCAACCCAACGATACTCGCCATGTTTGTGATCGTATTTGGCCCCGATCCAAACGTAAACGTAATTGGCAGCTGTAACAAAATAAAAAAATAGCTCCATGTAAGCACAGGTGGCTTATCACGTGACATTTTTTATGTTAAAGCTGCGGTCTCACTTACATCCCGGTAGGGTAGATTCCTGGTACATGTCCGGGGTGATCCGGGAACTGCCGGGGTACGACCGGGAACAACCGATGTACATCCGTGACTCTACCTGCAACGTCCGGGATGATCCAAGAACATCCGGCATTCGACCCCGGATGGAATAAATGTTTAGTATCACCGGGGTGATCTCGAAAGGTATAGCTTTGCCAGCTTCATCCTTAGCTCTGCCGGGAACGACCAGGGTTACACCGGGGTAGATCCGTTGTTCTGCCGACACAAACCGGGTATGATCCTGGGGGTGAGCCGATAGAGCTACGGTAGAGCCCTAGGTGAATGCCGGCAGAGCCTCGTTGAATGCCAAAACAGCGCCGATGAATGCCGACATAACCCTAGAGGATGACAATGAAGCTACGGTTAATCCAGTAACAGCCCCGGCAAAGTCCGGTTCATTTCAAAAGAATCACATTGCACTTGTTTGCATTTAAACCCTTCCCCATTTCCCTTCGGAAAATTATTCAGAAAATCGTCATGAATTACTTACCAAATAGGATAAAATATCATTTAAAAATATGTATCAACATCATCATTTTTGTGCGTTTTCAATCCACCGAGGTTCTACCGGGGCTCTGGCGGGATCGTCCTGTGCCCTGCCGCTGCTCTGCCTGGATCGACTGGGGCTGTGCCTGGGTCAAACGGAGCTCTGCCGGCGTCATCCGGAAAGACCGGGGAAGCCACGGCATGAACCGTAGCTTCTTCAGGGCTCGCCTGGATTGTCCGGGGCGCATGCTGGCTGTTAGTGTGCTGCCGGGCTTAGTGTGAGCGCAAATATTATTTCACCTCGGATCGTTCCGGATCACTCCAGTAACTTACCGGGTTGGTCCTGGGCTCTGCCGAGAGTAAGTGAAACCGCAGCTTGATATTGGATCACTGCTACTATTTTGTCCTTATCTTTCAATATTTAATAATAAACATATATCCCATATTCCAAGTATTTATTTTAGCTTAGCTTTTTTCAGGTTATGCTTGCAGAAATTTTCCATTCGGTAAAACATGTATATTGATAAAAAACTATGAAACTAATTGACAAAATTACAAGAGCTACGGTGGAAAAATGTGTGCCCTCAAAATTGAAAACTATTTACCAGGAACTTGGTATATCTTTTTATTATTCAAATATTGAAAGATGTAACGAAACAAGAAAAACAAAGATAGAAAAACAAGAACCGGTTGAACCGTGCGATGCTCCCCGAGTAGATTTTGGACACAGAAAAGTATACCTCTTGAAGTGTCAAAGATATGTCCCTGACAAAGTTCAAAGTGTAACTAGAACTGTGCGAGACTGATGTGTCGCCTTGTGAGCAAAAAAGTTTAGGAGAAATGGACTGGACAAATATGAAATATAAAAATTAACAAAGGGCAATAACTCAAAAAATAAAAAGTGCAAAGTAGCAATTCTAGTGCACTGTACTTCTTATCAATAAGATTTATCATCCTATGAAGTTTCAAGTCCATAGCTTTTATAATTTATGAGAAATGTTCTGGACAAAAATAAAGTATGAAAATTAATAAAGGGTAATAACTCAAAAATAAGAGGTGCAGGGTACCGGTTCTTGTACACTGCACTTCTTCTTAATGAGATCTATCATCCTATGAAGTTTAAAGACCATAGCTTTTATACTTTAGGAGAAATGGCCTAGATAAAAAAGTATAAAAATAAACAAAGGGCAATAACTCAAAAAATAAGAAATGCAGAGTACTGATTCTTGTGCACTGCACATTTTCCTAATAAGATCTATCATTCTATGAAGTTTCAAGTCAAAGGCCTTTATACTTTAGGAGAAATGGTCTAGACAAAAATAAAGTATGAAAATTAACAAAGGGCAATAACACAAAAAGTAAGAAATGCAGAATACCGGTTCTTGTGCACTGCACTTTTTCTTAATGAGATCTATCATCCTATGAAGTTTAAAGACCATAGCTTTTATACTTTAGGAGAAATGGCCCGGACAAAAATAAAGTATGAAAATTACCAAAGAGCAATAACTCAACAAGAACGTGTTTGTTAATGCCCCCGGCTCAGATTCTTGTCAGTAGCTATATTTCAAAAAATTTATTTTTTATTTTATTTTACCCATTCACTCAGTTATGGACAGAAAAAACGCCAAAAAATTGTAAACACAAGTTAAATAGCTTGACAAAGTCCTGGCATTTTGTAATTGTGAAAAATATAAGTTGCCAAGTCATTGCTCTGACTTGTGAAGTTGAAAAATATTCAACTTCATGCAAGTTATCTTCCTACCAAATATGAAATACATCTGTCATTAAATATAGGCTGTATGGGCAAAAGTGTAAAAATCTATTTTGAGCACTGGTGACCTTGACCAAACTGACCCCTAACTCTATCCAAAAGAAGAATACCATGTAAGTTATCTTCCTACCAAATATGAAATACAGCTGTCAATAAATAAAGGCTGTATGGGCAAATGTGTAAAAATATATTTTTAGCACTGGTGACCTTGACCCAACTGACCCCTTACTCCATCCAAAGGAAGAATACCATGTAAGTTATCTTCCTACCAAATATGAAATACAACTGTCAATAAATAAAGGCTGTATGGGCAAATGTGTAAAAATCTATTTTTAGCACAAGTGACCTTGACCAACTGATCCCTACCCCAATCAAAAGGAAGAATACCATGCAAGTTATCTTCCTACCAAATATGAAATACATCTGTCAATGAATAAAAGCTGTATGGGCAAAAGTGTAAAAATCTATTTTTAGCACAAGTGACCTTGACCCAACTGACCCCTTACTCCATCCAAAGGAAGAATACCATGCAAGTTATCTTCCTACCAAATATGAAATACATCTGTCATTAAATAAAGGTTGTATGGGCAAAAGTGTAAAAATCTATTTTGAGCACTGGTGACCTTGACCAAACTGACCCCTAACTCTATCCAAAAGAAGAATGCCATGTAAGTTATCTTTCTACCAAATATAAAATATATATGTCACTTAATAAAGGCTGTATGAGCAAATGTGTAAAAATCTATTTTTAGCACTGGTGACCTTGACCCAACTGACCACTAACTCCATCAAAGTTTATGTTTCTATCAATTATAAATAACATCTGTCTATAGAATAAGGTCAATACACCTGTAAAAATGTAAAAATCTATTTTTAACATTGGTGACCTTGACATTGGTAACATTGACCTTGACCCAAATGACCCCTTACTACACCCAAAAGAAGGAGGACCTACCTTGGCATGTTTGTATTAAACTAAGAAATCAACTAAAAAATAAAGGCTGTATTAGCAAAAATGTTTATATTTATTTTTTAAACCAGTGACCTTGACCTTGACCCTAGAGACCGCTTACTCCACAAAAAATTAGAGGACCATCAAAGGTACCCACCTACTAAATATGAAAGATATCATTAAAGAAATTAAGCAATTAGGAGAAATTTAAGATAAATCCAACTTGCCGAAATAGGTTAACCAGACAAGGCCCTATTTTCAAAGTGAAAAAAGGGAAATATTGATGACACAGTTATATAACTTGGCAATATCATGTACTTTGTATTGATAAGTAAGTGTGGAAATTATAAAGCCATTAGTATAGATAGAACTTAAGATATTTCCAACTTGCCGTTTTAGGTTAACCATTGTTCATTTTCTAAGTGCTGGAAAGGGCAATAACTTGGTAAATATGAAAGCCAGAGTTATGTTACTTGCCAAGATCATGTACTTTGTATTGATTAGTAAGTGTGTAAACTTAGAAGCCATTGGTACAGGTAGAACTTAAGAAAAATCCAACTTGCCGTTCTAGGTTAACCTCGTACGGACAGACGGACGGACGGACGGATCAATTACTATATGCCCGGGGGCATAAAAATAAGAAATGCAGAGTATCGGTTCTTGTGCACAGCACGTCTTCCTAATGAGATCTATCATCCTATAAAGATTCAAGTCAATAGCTTTTATACTTTAGAAGACATGGCCAAGACAAAAATAAAGTATGAAAATTAACAAAGGGCAATAACTCAAAAAATAAGAAATGCAGAGTACCGGTTATTGTGCACTGCACTTTTTCTTAATGAGATATATCATCCTATGAATTTTCAAGTCCATGTCTTTTATTCTTTAGGAGAAATGATCTGGACAAAATAAAGTATATAAATGAAGAAAGGGCAATAACTCAAAAATAAGAAATGCAGAGTACCAGCTCTTGTGCACTGCTCTTCTTCTTAATGAGATCTATCATCCTATGACGTTTCAAGTCAATAGCTTTTATACTTTAGGAGAAATGACCTGGACAAAAATAAAGTTTGAAAATTAACAAAGGGCAATAACTCAAAAAATAAGAAATGCAGAGTACCGGTTCTTGTGCACTGTACTTTTTCTTAATGAGATATATCATCCTATGAAGTTATAAGTCCGTGTCTTTTATACTTTAGGAGAAATGGCCTGGACAAAAAAGTATGAAAATTAACAATGGGCAATAACTCAAAAATAAGAAATGCAGAGTATCGGTTCTTGCACTGCACTTCGTATCATTATAAGAAGCATGCATACCAAGTTTGAAGTTTATCCCGACATATAATGACTGACATATGCTCCGGACAAGCTTAAAGGGACGCCGACAACGACGCCGCCGACAAAAGTTACCCCTATATGTCGCCTTTTTCAAGGCGACACAAGAATGAACATTGGGCAATAACTCCAAAATTAGGCGCCTCTATTTAATGAGATCAATCTACATACAAACCTCTTATGGCTTCAGAGCTATGTCTTGGACAAAGTTCAAAGTGAAATAAATACCAAGGGCAATAACTCCAAAATTAGGCAAGACAGAGTTATAGCTCTTTTGCACTGCACTTCTATTTAATTGGAGCTATCTACCAATAAAAGTTCATGTTGATATCTCTTATAGTTTTAGAGTTATGTCCCGGACAAAGTTCAAAGTATAAAAGTAAACAAAAAGCAAAAACTCAAAAATTATAAGGCAAGATAGAGTAATGGTTCTTTGGCGATGCACTATCACCCTCTGAAATCTATCTACCTACAAAGTTTAATGTTGATATCTCTTATAGTTCTATAGTTATGTCCAGGACAAAGTTCAAAGTGTGAAAAATAAACAAAAGGCAATAATTCCAAAATTAGGCAAGGCAGTGTAACGGTTCTTGTGCACTGCACATCTACTTAATGAGATCTATCTCCCTACAAAGTTTCATGTTGATACCTCTTGTTGATATAAAGTTTTGTTCCGGACAATAATAGCGAACGGACGGACGCACAAAGCGGCGGCCATATGCTCTCCTTTCGGGGAGCATAACAATTAACGGTGACCTAATGTTACCGTTAATAAATGTCATGTTGCCGCATGCCCTGGAGCTATACTTAGACAATTCAGACAAAAGGTATCTTTTTTCACAAAATGCCTGCATAAATGCAACCATCGATAAAGATAAATGCAACCTTCGATATGTGGCATAAATATTTATATCTTTGTACAAGATGAAAGATTGTAAACTTATCTTTCAATAGGATGTGCCGTGTTTTTATGACGTATTTTGTAGTGTGTAATTTTTATAATTTATTACCGTATGTTTGTTTACTAATGTACCAAATCTTAAAAATATTATTATGTACTAGTTCCAATTTATTTTCCCCAAGTAACTAGCAAATATTCAAACTTAATCATCTGAGGCAAAGACGTGGATAAATAAAGTTTATCTTTGTTATTACCGTCAACCAAGCCGTCATGGAAAACATTCTACACCAAGATGTCACAAATTTAATACATATAATAACGCTATTTAGTTCACAGCTGCAAAATTTATATCTGATTCGGTTAGCTCCTCGTCAAATGAGCCGTATCATGACAAAAACCAACATAATGGGTTTGCGACAAGCATGGATCCAGACCAGCCTGCGCATCCGCGCAGTCTGATCAGGATCCATGCTGTTCGCTATCAGTTTCTCTTCTTGTTATATGGTCGCAAACCCATTATGTTGGTTTTGTCATGCCATGGCTCAATTATATCGTTGTGACAGCAACGTAATCGTTCAACTAAATTCAGAATTGTACTCAACAAAGTACAATTACCCAATTAAACAAAACCGTGCTAATGACGGCTTACGTTCAGTACAGAATAATTAAAAATGATTTTTTTAAAATCAGTGTTGTCAAAGAAAATCAAAATCTAAACATAATTTTTTTATTAAGACTGCTTACATTTCTTTAAGAAAATCAATTAAGTATGTTCTTATTTGTGAAAACCTGGAACAAGTATAAGCTTGTTTTCTTGATTGATAATCTTCATAAAGGCAAATTTCATATTTATTTATGCCAGTAAACTACTAGTTACAGTCTAGATTCAGGAATATACTCACCTGCAATTTTCCGTTGTATGTATTCATGTTCCTGTTCATTTTCGACAATGACCAAACTTCCGTGTAGATCTCGGCAATAACTCTGTTTATATCACACAAAAAATAAATCCGTATTAAAATTCAAACAACTCTTGTTAATTACTTAACTTACAAACTATAAGCAATAAATTTCCAGCGTTTACGCCACGTGATGTTCCAATAGAAATAATTATTACATCCAATTTATTCAATTTAGCCTCATTTTCATTTTACTATTAAACACGATTTCATCTCTAATTTATATTGTATTCCAACTAGCCTCGTTTATATACAGACTAAAAAAGCGCCGAGCCTCGTTTTCAATTTTCGAGTAAAAAAATCTATATCAAATCTATATGGTACTCGAAGTTACAAAGTTCTGTGGGAAATTTAAAAATTGATGACGTGAAATTATCTAGTGTTGGATTATTACACGGCATCACAACCTATATTGGCGATACATGTTCAGTATCATAGAATGTACACTATTTTATCTGTTGAAGTTTTATTTACAATGGAAGGTTTTAGAAACCATATGGTGACATTTTCTATCAAGTATTTGTAAGAAAAAAATACACATTGATAGTAACGCGAATATAGTCGTAAAAAAATGGCGTATAAACGCGAATCAAAAGGCGTTAAAATACGTTATAAGTAAAAAGACACAATACGTAGACCTTCTTAACGTTTTTCATAAAATCAGAACTGAACATGCGTACAAAAACATTAATGTATACTTAACCTTACCTCAGCGTCCTCCCAGTCACGAGATTGATCAGCAAATTTGTAACATTTGTTCTCAAATTTCTCCCATCCAATATCACACTCTGTTTAAGTACATAACAAGAGATGTTTTTAAGACTGCGCGCTAGACTATTCTCAATGCTTGACTGTAAGAAAATGGGCATATCTCTGTAAAATGATGGCCCAGAGTTATGAGACAAGTGCCTAACATGTGCGATAATCACAGGACACGGATGTTTGAAATTTTGGGCCATTTCATTCACTAGTTCTAGATACCAACTTGTACACAATTACTTAACCAAAGTGTGATGGCAACGCTGTCGCCGGGGTAAGTACAATAGCACTTTCTACTCTTGAAATAGTCAAGCTCAAAATTTACGTTTTATAATTAAATCTTGAATAATCAAAATAAGATCAACTGATTTTATGTTACAGAAAACATCTTGACTAATACGAGGCATTTTGGTCATGACCAAAGTACGGCAAAAACCGGTCCCTGAGTTGAGAGGCAGGACACAATAACCACATTGAAACGACTCCCCTCTAATACACATTTACTTAAAAGCAGAATATGGATAGAATATTTTTAAAATTTTTAAAATAAAGACTAAATATCAGTGAAAAGATGCTTAGTTTTAAAATTTGCGATATTATACAGAATTCAAGCAAAGTTAAATACCTTTTTCACAGATGTATGCCACTTCCTCTGAAAAATAAACGAAATTACATACATGCACATACATACACATTACAAAATATTAACAAGATTGCTTTTTTATTTATGTAAAAAGGCCATGTAACATAAATCAACAAAGACTATTGAGAATAAATATTATAAGCGTTCAAGTGAGGAATATTATCATTAGGCTCTTATCGGTTTTAGATAACCTGACCCAATACAATGTATTTCAGCGCATATATATTAGAACTCTTAACAATATATTACTCTTTGTCGCTAATGTAGAGCCAGGCTGGCCTGAACAGCCTCGCAGTATTACCAGTTTTTATGTTAATGGTAAGTCATTTATTGCATTTTAATATTGAAATCCCTGAACGTTTTAATGAACTGTTTCAAACTTTAAAAGACTGGGCAATATACATTATTGCAGGTTATGGGTTAATCACCAAGATGCGGAAACTCCTTCCAATTTCTTTTGCCTTCAAATTAAGCTACACGATTAGAAGTCATATAACGCATTGTTAAAATGTTCATAATAGCTTTGTATCTTCTTACATGCATTTTTGGGTGTTGAATACAAATAAAGATTTATTGTTTAAGTTTGAAAATTTAGACCACAGTATTTTTTTGTAACGAAATATCATGTACATAGTCAAACGTATTCTGAAAGTATTGATTTCAGTGTTGGCCAAATACCCAATAGTAAGATTAATATCAATATTGCGCGAATAATTTCATTTAGTAATAGAATCATAAATATTATACTATCAGTTCTTATTTTTCACCTTAAAGATGTATAAAATATAACAAATGAACTTTCAGCGGTTTGCCGACGTTATGTTCCGAAAGAAATCATTATCGGATACAACCTTTCCAATGAAACCTAGTTTTCATTTCTATGGTTCAACATCCCTATCATATGCATATCACACCCTTGTATCATAGTTTGGAGACTTTTCTGTTGAAAAAGTGTCAGAGTTAAATCGTATACATATACATGCACAGTGCGGTAACTGGAATGCAGGTATCAGTTACCCGCACTCCAGATAATGCCCGTTGATTGGTTCATTTTTGCCGGGGTTTACTTATTGTGACGGCAGAGAAAGGGAAAGGGGCAGAAATATCATATTCAAAGGCTCGTTCATTGGTTCATTTTTTCTGGGGTTTCATATTATGACAACAGGGAACGTGCTGTCATGTTTGACTATGATACAAAAGAGAAAGAACACCAAAACACTCGGCAATCTGATTTATACTCGGGGGCTACGCCCCCTCGTACAAATCAGATAGCCTCGTGTTTCGGTGCTCTTTCTATTACATATAGCCTTCTTTCCACAATATATAAAAGGCTCTATATCATCCGCGACCCCATTAAAGACAAAATTGTATAAAAGATTCACTCAGATACCTTTCTCATTTTCTGTTCTGGTCAGGACAGCTCCATGGTCCTCACAATCTGCCTATATCTCACATGAAATATAAATATATTCAAACGTACATCTTGTCATTTTATAAAAATGGTCTTTGTTAGAATATGATCACATGCCAATAAAATACATCGTCATAATTTCAGCAATCTCTTGCGCATATTAGCTTTTTGTATTCAATTTATTTTATAATGTGTGAGGGACGAACGACAACCCTGCTCGGAGATTCTATTTTCAAGAATTCAAGCAAAACTTGACACTTATTACTGGTCTAGTCTAATACATGTATTTATGTCATTTGGCAGTTTATCATGTACATTTAATAAATAGTTATAGAGAATAAAGTTCTATAATTAAATCAAATCGTTACTTATAGATTAAAATTTTAAGTCCACAAACCTTTAACTCGACTAAACTACTGCTGGGTTCTGGTGTATGCACGCATTTGTGGTCTTTCAATTGCCAACCTTCACCGCAGCCTAGTATATATATGTAAAGTTGCATATAAATAATTATTTTGTTTTATTAATGCAACGAAACAAGTTTTGTTCAAAGAAAGCATAGTATTCAACAAATACAAAAAAAAACCCAAATGCTCAAAAGGCATAAAAAGGCTACTTCAATTGATACGAAGGTTATGAATGTTGTAGTTTATTATGTAATTGAGACAAAGTAATAGATGTGAATGTTTCAAATAACAAACAAGAATAACATTACATGTTTCGAAAGTGGTTCGACATTTGCAGTGAGAACAACAACCTATCTCAGATGGTAAACATTGTCTAGTTTATCAAGTAGCTAAAATGTGAAGAAAAAAGTTCTAAAGTGTCCAATTTGAGAGAAAAAAAGCTAATATCGAATACATGTAAATATATATATCAAAACATATTTCGCAGTTACCCTTTTCACAAATAAAACGCCCCCTTGTGTTTATACAGTCACAGTGGGAGTTCCACTGGTAGTTGTATTTATGTAGGTAGTCAACACACCCTCGGCTGCCGTCGGGTTCGCCAGGAGCCCATCCATTAAAGTTCATTTCCGAACCATCTATCCATAAGTGCTTTTGGCGGAGTCTACTATATTTTGCGCCAATCCATACGTAATGCAAATGCATTTCTAAAAGTAAATGTACACTATTACTTAGTCAATAACAATAACACTGACAAAACAGGTTAATTACACAAGCGAAACCCCAGGTGCACACATTCACATGCTGAGCAACATTCCTGTAACATTTCATGACTCTTGGTCAAATACCTTTTTAACTATGTGCGACACAAAATTGAAAATTACAAACTTTTACTACGTCAAGAGCAAGAACTCTGACAAAACAAAATAAATCCACAAGCGAAAGCCCAGGTGCATAACTTCACATGCTGAGACTCTTGTTCAAATACGTTTTTTTAGCTTTGTGCGATTGAAGTTGAAAATTGCAATTTTTAACTAAGTCAAGGGCAATAATTCAACAAAACTAAAAGAAATCAGACGCAAATACTCAAGTGCATAACTACGCATGCTGACCAACATTCCTGTAAATTTTCACTACTTTAGGTCAAAAAACTTTTCAAGCTACGAGTGACACAACATGAGAACTGACGGAAGAACGGACGGACAAACAAGGGTTAATCTACATCTAATCTAAAATATAGGGGGGCACAAAAATACAGAATTTCTATTGTTTTTTCAAATATTTAAAGAATGTGTCCATTGTTGACCAATATACTTTAACTTCACTGGAACATATATTAAAATATTATGCTTTTTTGGTACTTACATGGAATGCATTTTTTAAAGTAAACTATAACATATACATAATATAATTCCTTTTTTCTTTCAACTGGAAAATATATAGAATAAAATTCCTTTGACGGACAATGTCATTTAGAGGTCAATGTAACAACTAAATTATTTAACATGTTCTTTTGGCTCTTTTGTCCACATATAAATCCAATCCGTACATAAATAACATAATTACGACAACCTAACCAAAATTAAATCATTCGACCTTGACGGAAAATACAAGGTCAGGGTTTAGTCAACCGTTAAGAAGGTCTTGTCCAAAAGGTTATTTTGTCCAAGTATGAAGATAATCCATTGATAAATTACAAAGTTTAAGCCAATTTAAGCAATAATAACTGAACATTCAATAATTAGAAAATCAAGGTCAATATCATACACGAGTCAAGGTCCGTTAATTTGAGTTTGATATTAATACATTTTTAAACCATCTGACCTAAAAGATAATGTGACTAAATATGAAGTCAATCCATAAATAAAATAACAAAGTTATTGCCAGTTACAGAATAAAACAAGAGAATTTCATATATTTGACATTGATGGTCAGGTTTGATTAAAGATCAAGGTCATATCTAAATTATACAATGTGTTTGTTTGGAAGCAAATTTTCTTTTGTCCAAGTATAAATCAAATCCGTAGATGAATAATTCAATTATGACAATTTAACCAAATTCAATCATATGAACATGACGGTTAAGGTCATTTATAACTATAACTCAGTCAAAGTCAGTTTAACATTTAAGGTCTTGTCCAACAGTTTTTTAGTCAATTATAACAAAAATTAGTGAAATTTCAATAATTTAACCTTCAAGGTCAAGGTCATAAATCAGCAAAGATCAATGTGGTTTTGGTGTCCCGAAAAAATGTTGCATCGGAATACCAAGCCAAACCATTTATCTATAACAAAACTGTAGTTAGTTTCAGCATAAATTTTAGAATTTCAATAACTTGACCTTTAAGGTCAAGGTCATTTATGAGTGATGGTCAAGGTGTGTCTAATTATCTTAAAGGTATATCCTAGAAGATTATTATTTTAAAGTTTGAAGTAAGTACATTTAGAAACAAAAACCAGCAAACAATCAAGCACAATTTAAACATTTAACCCTAAATGGTCAAGGACATTTATGAAAGAAGGACAAGGTTAGTGTGGTCTACTAGAATGTCCTTTCCCAAATGTTGTTGTGGCCAAGTATAAAGGCAATACGCTAAGAGCTTAAATAGCTATGATTAAGTTTGAAGTTTGCGGACGGCAATGGCAACATCAACGGGAACGCCGCCATGACTTTAGTCAAGCTAAAAATGATAAAAAAGATTGCTTTACCTGAAATTCTTGTCCTGATGTATTCATGTTCTTGTTCGTTATCAACTTTTAACAACTGTGCCCCATTATTGTCACAATATTTCTTCATTTTGTAAATAAAAAAGAGAAAAGTTATGTACATATATATCCAGCCATACCGAGTAATTGGACTGAAGTGCAGAAAAATATGTACATGTAGGTACGTCTTGTTTTCATTTTACAGTTTAAGTAACCCATATACTGTCTAGGTCGTATACTGTCTTTCCAACTAAACTTACTGATGCCAATTCGTATATTATTTAAAGTGATAATACTGGTCAACTATATGAAAAGGCACATGTTAAAAATTTATACTATTATACAGTCACTTGTTTCAATTATACGACATATACAGACAAATATCTTCAAAACATTATTTAAGGTCAAAAGCCCATGGAACTGGATGAATTAATTTTGTGTACTTTTACAATTGGCAACATTATACGTTATCAGTCTGTGCACATGTAAACCGCACTTTTTGAAAAACTTACTTCAAATCCGAAGCAGTGCTAGTAAAGCGACTTGGGAGTTAGAAACCATAACTAGGAACCATAACCGCCCAATAATAGAAAACCAACCTAACATATTTAAGATGATTTTGTCTTTATCATATCTCAGTACTTAACTATTGTATTATATGTGTAACAGGTTTGACTCGCTTTGAATTTTGAACACTCCATTATTTCATATATTTCAATATCAAAATATAAATTTAAAATGAGCTACGTATCTATAGGATGTCGACCGAGTACAATGTCTACCTACGCGTTTTCGGTGTCACATTAAATTCGTAACAAAGATTTTGTCCTGAACAGAATGACCGATGTACGAGAATGTGCCGTTCTACTATTGGCTCGATAACATATGACATTCTATCCCAAGCACAAAAATGACTTTTATTTAACACAGAGCACATACAGGTGAACGCTTTTATCAACATTCTTCTTTTATGAGGAAAAAAATTTGATTTTTGGATCTGATTTCAAACCACCTGCCCCTCGCCGCTGTGGGTCCGAATACTACCCAGCGACTTTGGATTATTTCATCTGACATAGTCTGAGGAACGTCGGTGGTTCTACTTAAGTGACCAGTCATGCTTAAAGTAAAAACAGGAGAGGGGCACATGTGGTCTTCCTTCACAAGTTAAGCTGGAAAGTCAACATTTGACCTATGCAGTATTGGTTCGAAGAAAATCTTAGCAAAAAACTTTGATTTCATCTTTAAAAAAGATATAATTGCAAGTTTAGAATATGAACTTATAAAGTACTTAATATCATTTTTCACTATGGACATATATAAAATATACTTTACTTTGTTGTATACGTTATAATAACCAAACCCTTGCTTCGACAGTGTAGGGGGGTAATCAGCAATATTTTCACTGTTTTGACACACCGGTTGAAGTTTGTTTGTGTTTTAAAAAACACAGGATAAAGCCTAATCCGGAGCGAGGGGCGTTTACCAGAGCTTTACTTTACCAATGTGATTGATCCCGCGGGTGGGAATTTAACTACATGTATTAATTGTGGGTACATTCGGTGGCTGCGGTTTTAACTGTCGGTGCATATAGCCTAGATCAAATAGACGTCATTTGAACCATAACGATGCTTTCCACATATTGATTCGATACTAAGTTTAGGTACATTTTTTCACATAGCGTAAACTTATTAGAGTATTAGTATTAGAGCCTTTAACATATCATAGATTATGTCATTTAAATTGTCGGAACAATTATGCTATAATAACTATCACATTTTTATAGACATTAACTTCAATTGTCTATTTTGTCATATCAATATATATTGTGAACGTATTTAATGCCGGACAACAAAATTACCACAAAAAGATGTTTAAACAGTTATATTACTTGACTGTCAAGAACTTTTATTATTGTAAAATAAGTTGGCATGTCATTGATTCTTGATGAAGTTAAACGTACCAGGTGATAAAAAGAAATTAACAAATAACTGAGGAAAATGGATGGCACGATTATTCATAACTTGGTAATATCATTCGGACATTATAAAGCCATTAGTATAGATTAGTAATTGTGTAAAGACATTGACCAGTACAGGTAGAACTTATGATAAATCCAACTTGCCGGTTTAGGTTAGCCTTGTTCAAATAGACAGACGAACAGACGGACGGTTCAATTACTACATGAAGGGGGGGGGGTATAAAAAATAATGCAATTTAATATCTAGTAATCTTCGTCGATAGGCTGCCCAAAACCTTGGAATAATTGCTAAACGCACTCATTTAACATGGTTTCATTTTCATTTTTTATTTACATGACTTTTTAACTTTTATTGTTCTGCATGTTTATCTTTTTACCTGTTTCATATGACTGGGTCTATCTGACAAGACCATCAATAATCAAAATAAGCACGCGCATAAAAAAGACCTCCTAACGGATATTTTTAACAAGTCTATCCGAAAATGGACATGTCACGGACAATAGGGGAGTGTATTAAAAATAGCATCGAAACTGGAGGTTATCTTATTTGTACAAGGGGGCTTCCCAGATTGCCGAGTGTTTTGATGTTCTTTCTCTTTTGTATCATAGTCAAACATATAATCAGGCTCTAATCTGTTGTTGTATCATAGTTTGGGGACCTTTCTGTTGAAAATATGTCAGAGTTAAATCGTTTACATATACATGCACAGTGCGTTAATTTGAATGCAGGTATTAGTTACCTGCACACCAGAGCATGCCCATTGATTGGCTCATTTTTGCTTCGGTTTATTTATTATGACGGCAGAGAAACGGAAAGCGACAGAAATATCAGATTCAGATCCTCGTTCATTAAATACTTTTTTTCTGGGGTTTTATATTGTGACAACAGGGAACGTACTTTTATGTTTGACTATGATACAAAAGAGAAAGAACATCAAAACACTCGGCAATCTGATTAATACTCGGAGGCTACGCCCCCTCGTACAAATAAGATAACCTCGTCTTTCGATGTTCTTTCTATTACTTAGAGCCTGATCATATTAAACGGCCGTACGGCTCATCTGGCTCTATGTTGTATATACTAGAGGTATATTGTTAATCACTTTTGGTCCGAGGTATGAGCTTATGTGGGATATAGCAGGTAGAAATGATATACAGCAGAAGGGAGGAATGAGTATATGATGATGAATCAAGATTTTATTTCATATAAAGAAGGATCGCACGAAACATAGTTACTTACCCTAGCATCTTCCCAAACGAGAAATTTCTCTGAGATCAAATAGCATTTGTCATTCCACCATTCCCAGCCATCTTCGCATTCTGTAATACAAAATGTAAAACATGTTCATACATAACAACATTTTTATCATAGAGCCACATATCATGTAATCACGTGGCATCTTTATGACAAACAAAATGGTGTCTGATCAGAAAAAAACAATAGTCTATATTGGAATCTTAACCGATGCATAAATATAATGTTATATAATTATTTAAGTTTAAATTTATTCGCAATTTGTGTTGATAAACATATAAAAATTAGTTGTTTTACAATGAGAACCAAATGATAGAATATTCGCTCATGAAAAATACACTGTTGTGAGAAGTGATTGGTCACATTTGCACCACGAACCCTCACTAGCTTACATATAACAAATATATTTGTATGTATTTTTTCAGTTCATATAATGTTACTTGCAGTACTTACGTTCCGTCTGTGTGAAAACAATCGCCAAATAAAAACACAATCCTAGTAAACCGAGGGTAGTCATCGGTAATAAGCAACTGATTGTTTACTGGCAGAATGTTAATAAGCTTTTATTTATCTAAAACAAACAAAACATAATTAGTCACATATTAATGAATGAATGAACGAACGAACGAACGAACGAACCAACCAACCAACCAACTCATTCATTCATTCATTCATTCATTTATTCATTCATTCATTCATTCATTCATTTCCAATTCAATCATTTCCAAATCATGTGTTCATCAATTCATACATCTAGCGTATGCAACATTAATAAACTAATAAATATATGACCGTTTACAATAGAACAAGAGCCATGTCAACATGACCATCCCCCGCCGAATGTGTTTGCTCATTGGAAGAATGTATATGTAGTAGAGCAGAATAATTCCATTTTAAGAGGTCTTTTGGTAATGAAAACTGATCGCTATAGTGATTACAGATTTGAAACCTATGTGAATACTGATGGCTGAAAATAACAAAAAAAATAATGCAGGGTAGGTTATCATTCTTGTGTGCTGCATCCCTCCTCAGTAAAATCTATCCACCTATGAAGTTTCAAGTTGATACCTCAAATACTTTTTGAGAAAGAATTGAATTGAAAGATTAAGTATGAAAAATAACAAAGGGCAATAACTCAAAAATTATAAAAGGTAGAGTTATCATTCTTGTGCACTGCACACCTCCTGAGTTAGATCTATGCACCTATGAAGTTTCATAATGATATCTCAAAGGCCTTTTGAGTTATGCTCTGGACAAAAATTAATTTTGAAAAATAACAAAAGGGCAATAACTAAACAATTATGCAGGGTAGAGTTATAATTCTTGTGCACTGCACTCTTCCTCAATGAGATCCATCCACCTATGAAGTTTCAAGTTGATACCTCAAATACTTTTTGAGAAAGAATTGAATTGAAAGATTAAGTATGAAAAATAACAAAGGGCAATAACTCAAAAATTATAAAAGGTAGAGTTATCATTCTTGTGCACTGCACACCTCCTGAGTTAGATCTATGCACCTATGAAGTTTCATAATGATATCTCAAAGGCCTTTTGAGTTATGCTCTGGACAAAAATTAATTTTGAAAAATAACAAAAGGGCAATAACTAAACAATTATGCAGGGTAGAGTTATAATTCTTGTGCACTGCACTCTTCCTCAATGAGATCCATCCACCTATGAAGTTTCAAGTTGATACCTCAAATACTTTTTGAGATAAGCTCCGGACAAAATAGTATGAAAAAGAACAAAGGGCAATAACTCAAAAAATGCACAGGGAAGAGTTATCATTCTTGTGTACAGCATTCCTCCTCAATAAAATCTATCCACCTATGGCATTTCATGTTGACATCTCAAACACTTTTGAGTTATGCTCCACTCGGGTGAAAAATTAAGTATGAAAAATAACAAAAGGCAATAACTCAAAAATTATGAAAGGTAGAGTTATCATTCTTGTGCACTGCACACCTCCTGAGTGAGATCTATACACCTATGAGTTTCATTTTGATATCTCAAAGGCCTTTTGAGTTATGCTCTGGACAAAAATTAATTTTGAAAAATAACAAAGGGCAATAACTCAAAAATTATGCAGGGTAGAGTTATCATTCTTGTACACTGCACTCTTCCTCAATGAGATCCATCCACCTATGAAGTTTCAAGTTGATACCTCAAATACTTTTGAGATAAGCTCTGGACAAAATAGCATGAAAAAGAACAAAGGGCAATAACTCAAAAATTGGTTAGGGAAGAGTTATCATTCTTGCGCACAACATTCCTCCTCAATAAGATCCATCCACCTATGACATTTCATGTTGATATCTCAAACACTTTTTTGAGTTATGCTCCACTCAGGTGAAAAATTAAGTATGAAAAATAACAAAGGGCAATAACTCAAAAATTATGAAAGGTAGAGTTATCATTCTTGTGCACTGCATACCTCCTGAGTGAGATCTATGCACCTATGAAGTTTCATGTTGATATCTCATAGGCTTTTGGAGTTATGCTCTGGACAAAAATCAATTTTGAAAAATAACAAAGGGCAATAACTCAAAAATTATGCAGGGTAGAGTTATCATTCTTGTGCATTGCACTCCTCCTCAATGAGGTCTATCCACCTATGAAGTTTCAAGTTGATAACTCAAATACTTTTAGAGATATGCTCCGGACAAAAATGTCGGACGGAAGGACGGACGGACGTTCTCACAGGACAGTAATTATGTGGCTACTCTATTGTTCTCTCTATTGTTCTTTTTAGCCACGCAAAAGAAAATAGCCACATAAAAGCATTACGGAATGAATGACATCAAAGAGAAAGAACAGTTACCTATTGTCCCTCTAGTCACATAATTACTCTCCTGTGAGTGCGGAAAGTCGGACGGACGGACGGACGGAGGCTATTTCTATATCCCCCGCCGATAATTAAAGGATGCAGTTGAAACCAAAGGGAAATAATCAGTTGTATCGGTATAATTTATATTGGTTGAAATTTGTAGAGGTGATTTCCCTTGCTTATTGTATGTGTGTTTTATGCGCCGTTTTTCGTAAAAGGCAGACATTTTTTTATTTGTTGATATATTTGTTAATTCTATAAAGAATTGTGGATTTAGAATTTAGATATTGTTTAAGTGAGTTACAAATGAGCTGTGTGTCTGGAGTTTATTTAAAGAAGATATAAATGTATATTGTACATGATTACAATTGTTTACAATGCATTTAATAATGGAAGCAAATCTAAAGTTAATATATATTTGCGATAATTAATTTAACTGTAGTTCTCTATTGTGCACATGGTTTTGCACATGGTTTTGCAGTATGTTGCAGTAACAGCACACATGACTGAAAGAATATGTTGTGAAAGTGTTGTCATTCGAACCCAATCTACGATTAGTATGTTTAAATGTACATGTCATAATATTGTTTTTTCCTTTGTATAAGTTTTACTCTAGTCATTTAATCAGTTAATAGGTTACTGGATTAAATAATCAAATATAAATGGAAAAAAAATACTCGGATCATTCATTTATTAATTTAGAATTAATTATATTATGTAATGATTAATAGAACAGAACATACACTTTATTTCTTGGTTTAAGCATGAAGAGCTCATCACCATATTAAAGTGACATTAGGCCCATCCAAGGGTATATAGTATGTGAACGAGTAAAGATCAAAATAAGTTTTCATTTTGCCATCATAATTTCTTTTAATTTAATAATTAAGTTCGCATAAACAATAAATAACGCACAGATCCAAACGACATTTCTGTACATATCCATTAGAATTATCTCTAACGCTTAGTTTAAAAAAAGAGTGGAGCAGTCTTTTTAAATTTTAGGCAGATTTATAATTTTAACCTTAACATTTTCCAGTATCAACTGTTGGTCAAACACCATTTTAACAGTCAATCTTTTAAAATATATCGTCAATTCAATTCAACTTGACTATGAAAATATGACCATAATGTCACTTTAAATATACAAATACAACATATATCACATAAATTAGGCATGACTTGCAAAATAATGGTTTATGAAACTTGAGAATGTTTAATGAGATCAGAAATTACTTAAAAGGCATATGAATACATGCATATATCTTTACCCATTATCAAATTGAGCTACAATACAATTTCTTTTATGTTTGTAAAATTTTGGAAATGCATATCAATAGAATCCACAAAAAAACTAGCAGTTTTAATAAAAAAAAAGTGATTGTGACAAATCAAGGGGAATAACTTATGTAAACATTACATAACAGGTATTTTAGCATTTACCTCCCTTTGATAATTCATGATGATAAATGAATATATTTACTGATTTCATAAAGAAAAAAAACACAAAACCTAAAAAAGCGAACCAAACAAAACTGAATTAGAACAAAACTAGACTTAATTATAAAGATTATTTTTGTCAAAATATTTCATCATGGTATTTTGTTGAGTGTTGGAAAACAGACAGACGCGCAACTATATATTTTATTTGAGAAGATACAATTATAAATAAATAAAAAAATATATATGTACATTATCATATTCACATATAACTTAACAAATCTAGGTGATGAATATACAATGCGTATCTAACAGTGACAATGATCTTATTTTTAGTGTTTTTTTTTAAATATTTTTTCAAAAAAAAAAAAAAAAAAAAAAACAGAGAAAGAGAGCAAAGCTTAAACGTCAGTATATTATAACAAACTATCCTCAATTTAAAAGCTTAAAAGCTTTATCACAGTATATATCTAAATTTTGCAGGGTTTTTTTGCGTACAATTTGCATTTAATGAAATGAATTTAAACATACTTGTGTTGCAATAGTATCTTGGAATGTATTGTTTTCTTAACTCAGAATATATCGGACATTTAATGGTAAAGTGAAATTCGTCTTCTATATCATTCATATAACATAAAGTCACTTTCGTTCATTCCTTGGTACATCATTAGGTCTTTCTAACTCGATATTAAGTTTGTGTGAGGACAGTCTAATTTTGGCTAAAACATTTCTATATTTAACATTTTCAATATATTTTATATATAACGATTCTTCAAATATGATCTTATATTCCCTATATACATCTAACAAGGATGAAGATTGAATACTATCATTCCAACAACTTATATAAATATCCCGTAATCTATTCCTAAAAATAGGTACAAATAGCTTTAACTGACTGTTGCACTTTTTATTTTAATGTGAAATATATGTTATAATACGCTATGACTTAAATTGTATATATTGTGATGTGTTGATGATCTCAGTATGTACATGTATTTAGTATTGCTGAATTTGTTTGCTTTAGGGTTTGATATAGATATACATGTATATGTGTGTAAATATATAAATTGAGCCGCGCCATGACAAAACCACTTTTTCACTTAAAAAATAGGTCTTTATGATTAAAATAAATGCTTTTATAAAAAGGTGTACACGCAGTTAAATTTTTCTGAGTTTCATCTATGGCGGCGCGCACCTGTTGGTTAGTAACCAATCAAAACAAAGTATTCAATAAATTGTATAAATGGGACAAAATAATTGGTCACGGTATATTAAAATGACTTTTACGAGTTGAGTTAATGATATTTAGAACTTTTTTCGATTCTCTAAAATAATTCAAGTTTAAATAATTAACAAATTTTTTATTTTATATAAATATTGATGGACCCTTTAATAGTGTACACACATCGGGCATTCAGGTGTTCGATACGGCCCTGTAGGGCTGGCACTATTGGAGATGTCTATTAATGTAATAAGAACATTATAAAAGAAATTAATAAATAGCCTCTCATGTCGTTTTTGGTGCGTTGGTCCGATTCTGATTTCGGCTTGCCATCTAATTAAACAAAAGATCCAGGTCGTTTATCCGGGGATGACAGGAGGGATGTAACTCATTTATTTTATTAATTAACTAATAATTTGTACAGGTTGTATTGGATGCACGTGTTTGTTTCCAAACTTATCTAAATATTCATATAAGTTGTATTTCGAATTATCATTTCGTGGACGTACGCGGACGGTGTTGCAAATCTATACTTAACTTTTTTAGTTTTAAATGTTGTCTAGGCATGTAGACTTATTCTTTTAACTGTAAATATGCAGATTATATAGTCTTAATATTTATAAATTTTTACTTGTGGCCCTAGGAAGTGGCCGTGAAACGGAAGTATAATGTGATATTATAATCTTAAAAAATTGTCTTAATTGGGTATACATGCCAGACATTGTTTTATCAATACAAATCAATCGGTCAAACAAATTGGGATGGAAGGCTAATGTTACCCTTAATGTTAAAAAGATTTCATATTGTAAATATTCTAACTCCCCCGCCCTGTGTTTGTTTTTACTTCTTCTTTTTTGTCCTGTATATAAAGATTAAAAGTGTATGTGTCCCCCCATATGGAGCATAAGCTACACACATACACTCACGTATGAAATGGCCTTATATTTGTTAAAAAGGGTCATTTCATCACATTAAGGGTAACAAAGATATTTCTTATAGCCATATTTTGGGAAATTTTCTATTTATATTGGACCATTGATTAAACATTTGATTGTTATTTTACAAGTTAGTTTTTGTTTTATTTTTATTTTTAATAGTTGTACAGATACTATACAATGGAGTGTTAAGGGCACCTGCTAAATCTCTATCCCGTTCGCGCGACAAACTTGTCGATATAGGTCAATCCAAAAATTAAGAAAATTTGCAAAATATTTCAAAATCTGATTGACCTCCTTATTTTGTAAATAGAGAATTTTCGGCCAATCAGAACAAAGGAGGCAATCACTTTAGACCAATAAGAACATCTTTAACTAAGCATTTTTCGGCCAATCAAAATTTACCTATTAAACGTGGTTCGGCGCTATCTGTCAAAATCGTTTCTGCATTGTTCTCCCTACGAAAAGTAATTGTATTAAATGATGGCCAAATTGTAAAAAACTATGTTCTCAGGCGTGTTGCTAAGGTTTATACTTATAAACCTTCTCATGTGTTAAATAAAGTTTAAAAAAACTAAGATCTACAATTCTAACTGTGTTGGTCTGTTATAGAAGGCGTACGCGTATAAGCGTCTTCCCCCCTTTTAATATTTGTTTTAACATTATAAATATGATTTGCAATAAATGAAGCTATCATTAAACATAATTATTAGGGTTTTTTTTTTGTTCCCTATATAGAAGACGTCCGCGTATAAGCGTCTTCCCCCCTTTTAATTTAAGTTTAAATTTTAAATACAGCTTTTTAATCTTAGTGTGGGATATAATCCCACCGTTTTCCGGCCCCATCCAGTGCAATTATTTTGCATTGTTGGGGCAGGAAATATTGTACTCACTAGTCACATATGCAGATATTAACTAAATAAAGTGTTTTCCCTATAATAAATGAAACATATGCTCGCCCATATGGTTTTAAACCGGTGGTGAGGGTAAATAAACTCAACACACACACACAAAAATAACTAAGCAGGTGTTCGGGTGAAATAAACTAAAAATTAAATAAAATTTATCATTTCCATACTAAAACAAACTTGTTTTAACAATTTTGACACTCCTTTGTGTATGTATCTGATCAAATTAGACTTATAATAACTAGCCACATTGAATTGGGGAAATACGTTCCTGACATTGCTTTAAAAAGACTTTCTTTCTCTTTTTTAAACATAGTATATTATAATAGTTGACCTGTTATAAGAGACGGTGCTTTTTATAAACGTCTCGGCCCTTTTAACCTTAAGTAATTTAAACATGCTGTTCATTTTTTAAATACACGTCATTTTAACTTAGTATGGGAGCAATCCCATCTTATTCCTATCATGGGTTACGTACTTTTATACGAACTTGTGATAGGAATTATGGCACACACGTAAACACATGTACCGATAAAACTATAGCTTAATTAAATTAGTTCCCATATAAATAAAGTAAGTTTTAAATGAAGTATGTGCTCGCCCATATGGTTCATTCCGGTGGCGAGGGTAAACAAACCAAACACACACACACGACAAAACCAACACCAGTGCGTTTGCGACCAGCATGGATCCAGACCAGCCTGCGCATCCGCGCAGTCTGATCAGGGCTTACCAACTCTATTACAAGTAGAGAAACTGATAGCGAACATCATGGATCCTGATCAGACTGCGCGGAAGCGCAGGCTGGTCTACATCCATGCTGGTCGCAAACCCATTATGTTGGTTTTGTCATGAAGCGGCTCATATATTTCATTAGTGATTGGAATTTTTATAACTAATTTTATGTTAATTACAGACAGTATTTGACTTTAACCTCATTAGAACTTTAAATTTATACGGTGATCATAAACCACAGGAGCTTGACATTATATTAATAATTGAAAAATATAAAGAAATAATTAATAAAAAAGGCAAATATACAATATTATAGTGTTTTTGGTGTTTCAATTTATTCATATTAATTGTATACAGGTGTATATTTATAATAGAGCTTAGATGTTTCAATTTTTTTCTAATTTATACCAATCATTGATACAATGTCGAGCTCATGTGTATAAACTAATGAACATTTCAATTAAAACATTAATAATCAAATTCAGCCTGGTTTATAGTTTATATCTTCACATCATAACGGGCATAATTTAAGCAAGGTAACACTATAATATTCACATCTAAACGTGATCTTGATCACATATTTTGTTTTGTATCATAATCAGATCACTGCAGACATTTACCATCTTTATAATTACATTTAATGATCAGATACGCGTGGAACATACGCGGACAGACAGATGGACATACAGATAAAGAAAGCTGTTGTAGAATATAAGGAATCTTAACATGATTTTATAACAACCAAATATAAATAAGTGAACATGCATTTTTTTCTTCTGTGAGAGGCCTTTTGTAAACTTGTAAATGACATAAACAGATAAAATACAAACTTTATACATATGATAAATGACCAAATAAAAATGAATTAAAAACCCTTATATTATTACTAAAACATATCAAGCTATCAAAAATCGCAAAATAAATTCACATTACCTTTTGTCTTGTACTAAACGATGGAAAAAGATGTGTGCAATGGTGGACACATTCCTAAACGCTAAAGTTATCCATTTTCTGTGCACGATTTTCTCGTGAAATGTGTGCGTTTTTGTCAGCAGGTTTCGGGTGCTAAGTATAGTCGACGTCTTCGAAATCACGGTCACTTATTTTTTTAAATAAACCATTGGACTTGTAAGTATTTATGTTTTTTTGAGATATGTTTTAATTTTTTTAGCGATTGGTATATTTACTATTTTTACAGAACTTTACTTAAATGTCGATTTCTCTTTTACGCCGAACTGATTAATTACACTCGAATATGTTTCTTGATTTGAAACTTGTGGTTTTAAGCTCACAACGTTAACCCACTGTGGTTATATTAATATGAAAATGTTTCATTAAGAAATGATATTGTGCGTCTTTTTTGCTGTTTAAATACATGTTTATAATACTGCACGTTTTTCATGTCGCCTTTTATTGGATAATCGTCACGTTTATATAGCTATATATTATACACGGCTGCTGTCAATTTTCGAATAAATCTCACTTTTTCTCAAAAGGAAGTTTGCTGTATTATAAATTCGTTATAAATATCGTGACAGGTTAAAGAGCCGTATATAAATGGTTGTTTGCAATATATCCCTCGTCGGCTCGGACTATATTTACATACAAACATCCGTTTATATAGGACCATATAACATGTCAAAAATCTTTATAACTAATTATATATATGCGGAATTCGATGTAGTTAGATGCGGAATATTTTGCTGTTTTTTTTCTTAGGAAATTTCAAATTATAATAAACATGTATATAATATATTTTGAATCCATCTAAAATATATAGTATAATATTATCATATAACATTTATTTATTCCAAATCAAACTATTCTGAACACACTAAGAATACGAACTATTACTAATTTAAATATATGGATCAATATATAACACACTTTATTTCATTATATTGTTTTGGCATTTCTGATAATGTTTTTGCTGATGTTTATCGTGGCAGATTTGTGCCGTTTCTGTTTTCGCCCCGCGGCCACGCTTGGAGTGGTCACGAGGCGAAAAAACGAATGGCACAAATCAGCCACCATAAAAGTATGACGTTTCACAAAATTAATGCATATCAACCCGTGTACAAAAAAATTCTACCTCATGCATTTGCAACTATTTAAATCAAAACCGGTCAAATAAGAACAAGATATCTAAAACACTCAAAAGGAATAGTACTACTCTCCTGTGCATCGTTGGAATATTACACTATCGTCTACTGTCTTTTCTGTAGTAACGCGAGTGTATTCAGTGAGCTACGAAGGGAGCGTATAATGGTACCTAACCTTGATTCGAACATGTTAATGCATTACGTTGTGTTTATTTGAATAAGGCTTCAAACTACCAAACTCTTCACAGTGATTTGATTTTCCATGTAGCGAAGCAAAGGGGGGACCACTGCATAGGAGTGTGTCAGTCTAATAAAAAACTCCTCACAGTGATTTGACTGTCTATGTAGCGAAGCAAAGGGGGTCCACTGCATAGGAGTGTGTCAGTCCGCCAAACTTGATTGGCAACGTTATAACCACGGCTTTCACAAACATCACGTGACCATAGACTGCAAAATGGAGGCTACTATAACTACACAAAATAAACTGATTTTGTTGAAAAAAAATGTCTTTTTATGACAAAAAAAAAAACAACAAAAAACAAAACATTATTTCATCTACTTTGGAAAGAAAGTGAATAAAACCAAACTTATCCGTAGCTGAAAAAGGAAATGTGAAATTCCGTAGTCCGCTACGGTTCCAGGACGGACACACAACGGTATGAGTACGGAGTTCGACGGATTTACCACCAAAACCCCCGGGAGAGACACGGATTGTTACGGACCGACACGGTTTGATACGGAGCGACACGAATTAGGACGGACGCACCACGGATACACTACGGTATGCTACGGTATAAGCACGGGTTAGTACGAATAAGTACGGTCTGATACGGAGAAGAACGAATTGATACGGAGAAGAACGAATTGCCACAGATCTATACGGACCTATTATATCCGTCCATAATCTCTTGCATGCTCAATGTCTCACAATAAAAGAACACTTAGAAAACGAATTGCAGAGTTCAATGATTTCGGCGGAAGGATTCGGCCTCATCGCGTCCGACCCCCGAGACATATCAGGTCCGATTATAGTGAATTTCTTGAAGGACGCCGGATCCTCAACAAGTTCGGCCATGTGAGCCGCATACTAAACATGAAGGGGTCTTCGTAAAAGCCCATCTCTAGTCAACCATCCCCTCTGTCTTCTCTTACCTGATTAGATATGGACTCGTAATCATTAATGAAAAATGTTGATCAATACTGATTCTCTTTTAATTTTAAAATGTGCTGTTCATTTACAATTACATTAATTATCGTGAATATTTATGTTTTAAGAATATGTAAAATGCTTGTTAATTAATCTTAGTATCACTCAAGGGCCAGCGTCCGAGGCTTATGAGACACTTCGTTTTATGTACATATTTACTCCAATTTCACAATTCAATGTTTTGTAAAATATATAACATTAAAATGTCATAATATTACTTATGCATTGTTGTACGATATTAACATATTTTTTTACCTCTATGTATGTCATCAAGCAGCTCGACCACTGCCTCCGTATTCTGAGCCATATCATTTATTGAATGTTCACACAAATATCTGTTTTTAACAAGAAGGAAAAATGCATGATACTTAATTTATCCGTACTAAACAGTGGTGGACCGTACCATTCCGTACCGTTTCGTGATGCAACGCAATAAACCTTAAAAGACCGTGCTAATCCTTGCCTCTCCGTAGTACAGCGTATTACGATCGTGGCTTTCCTTGATAATGCCGTTTTAATCCGTATTAAAACCGTAGCTTATACGTAGGGTAACCGTACAAATACGTAGTTCTCCGTACCAAACCGTGGACAAGTTGGGGCCTACGAATCAGTACGGACTAGAACGGTTTTCGTACGGACCAGAACGTATCAGTACGGTTTAATACGGACTAATAGGGATACGCTACGGTTGATTTTTCCGTAGCAAATTTTTGTGCATGTTCAAAAATTGTCAAGGATCGCTACGGATATACAAGGACTACTACGATTGATCACGGTTACACTACGGAGAGCTACTGACCAGTACGGGTAACTACGGACGATGCCGGAATTAATCCGTGGCTCTTCTGTAGGCGTTTTCCGTGAATATGTGACCGGGGTATAAAGGAGTGTGGAAACAAAGTTCTGTTTAACCATGCCTTCTCCTACACATTATGATCGCCGTTCCTGGACGGCGATATGTACAATCAGAAAAGGAAATATCATATTCAGATGCTCGTTCATTGGTTACTTTTGGTTACTTTTTTCTCGGGTTTCATATTGTGACAACAGGGAACGTGTATTTATTATCGCCGTTCCTGGACGGCGATACATACAACTGACAAGATTTGAACAGTTCTGCCTGCCTTAGGCCAATCAAAGCGAATAAGTCAATATCACATGATAACACAATGGACGTCGAAAACGCCAATGAGGGATGCTTATATAACTCGCCCAACCGATATGTTTTGTCGGGTTACTTATTCGTACAACTAAAAAATACCATTTTCAATGTTCGAATACAGTACAAGATTTTAGTCTCTTGCAGGATAAACGCAGCAAAATACATTAACTTTTGCTACATGCCATATCTGATTAGAGAATGTTTTCTAAAAAGAGTATATTTTGTTTTCTTTTTTAAGGAAAAACTTTATAAATGCTTTTTTCCGGGCGAATTTAATACTATAAGTGTTGTTGTTGCATCATTCGTATAATATAGCAGGTCAGTTATAGTCCGTTTCAGCAAAGCAGTCGACATAGTATATAAAGTAAATTCCATTTATAGCATGTTCAAAGATATCAATGTTAATGTGTAGCAAGTAATGTTGTTAATAACGCAAGATTCATGAAGATACATATTCATGAAGTATTTTTATAACCGCTAACGATTGAATGGTTTGTTTATAATAAATTTTTGTCGAAGTATTTAGATCAGAGGGCTTTCCTTCGGTTCTTTTTCGGATTTTAGGTTTCTTTCGTTATTTCCAAATGTGTTGCAAATATGTTGATTCGGGTATTTCGTATCGACAAAACGTTTGCCAATTATAAACTGTTATTCAACTTCACATATCTATTACCAACAAGTTATCTTTAAATTGCTTAGACAAGAAAATATTCACAATCAAAATAACTTATCTGAATTAAATTTTATTAAAATTTTGATTAAAGAACACTTGCAATGGCAGTGATCTATGTAGGGAAGCAAAGGGAGACCACTGCGTAGACGTTTGTCAGTGCTGCTTTACTGTTACTAATCTTTGTTTTGCTCAAGTTATCATCCTGCGACGGTATTTGTACAATATGTTTATGATCGCTGTTTCAATTTTCCCACCAAATCTTTACTATAAACAGCAAGGAATCTAAGGTCGATTATAAAAGAATAATTGAAAAACAATGCAATGATATTTATCATAGACTCAACTTTCATTTTTCTGTTTAAGATTTCTACCATAATTTTGAAGATCATAAGGTTAGTATTTTTATAGAGATTAAATGGCCTATATATTATTAAAAGTATTTGGAGCAAATACTGTATAACTGAAACTTCTGTTTTCTTAATGCGCATTTTTTACTTAATGTCAAATTCTGCGTTTATTATACAATAATCTTAATATGCAACTCATTAATTATATACAGTACTACTTGGTTGGGTTCTACGTCGCACCAGTATAGGTTAAATTACGAATTTCCAGTTTTACTGGTGGAGGAAGTCCTCAGGTACCCTTCCGTGTATTATTTCAGACACGAATGAGCAACTGAGTAGAACCAATGACGTCCCGTAAGCTAGCTGGATGGCTCACACACAAAGCAGAATCCGAAGTCCCTGTAAGGAATCGAACGCTCAGCGGTGAAGGGCACAATCTTTTGAGTCAACGACCTTTACCAATCGGCCACAGACGCGCCATTTATATAAGAAGGCAGTGAATTTATACATTATCATCATTATTTCATACAAATAAGTTATTAAAGAATTTAAAGGGAAACAGAAAAATGCACATGTATGAAAATGCATGTACAGTACGTTAAAATGCGAACGCTTTTATAATTTCACAAATAATTAGAACAAAGAAGACATGAACAAAAGAATTTAATATTAACAGAAAACATTTACTTATTCTAGCAGTTATAAAATAAACATATGCATGCAGAAATGTTTTTACCAAGGATATGTAAATACTATATAAATTTATTATGCTATTCATAATCACCAAAGTCGCATGGACAGAGCAAAAAAAATGAAGCATGTATTGTTTGTAGTTCAATGCAAAACAAATGTGATAATATCCGGAAATTGTGTTATAAAATGTATTATATTTGTATTTTGCCTTAACCGGAGTGCAGTGGGTATGGATCATTGTTCATATAATTTATATGTCAAATATTTTCAGATGCTAAGGCATAACAGGCAACGTCTTTAGATATTGAATTACGGCAGAAAAAGTGAATTTCAGCAGAAAAAAAAGGGTAAGTACTAAAAACGCGGAATGTTTAAAATTAACCTATCGCGAAGAAACAAAATGTTGAATCATGACAAAGTCTCGACACGCAAAATAGTGCATAAATTATTTGTGTGACAAAAAAACTAATATTGTATTAGATGACTTTAATATTTACAGTTCATAACAGAACATGATAAACTGTTATACAGCTTCAAGTATCTAAACTCGTCGAATCTTCATCTCTGTCTTTTTCATTGGAGAATTATATCCTTTCCATGGTTGCCAAACAGGGCCCATTGCTGTTTTCATGTTTCCATAGTCTCCATTAAGATTTGAAGTATGACATGCTGAATACCACCACGCTCCATGGTAATTCTGAGCACAGTTACTCTTACTGTGTATATCGTTGTCCTTGTCGAATGTGGAGAATTTCTCCCTTCCCCTTTTGCTTAAAGCTGCCCCCCCGGCATTTCCCAAAATTTATTCACTAAATGAGTAAAATTTTGATTTTTTTTCAAACAAAAAAAAACCCCCCTTTTTCATCGCAGTTCCCGTTAAAAATTTTAAAGACGAGGAAGTTTTTTTCCTTTGGAAAATGAGCTATGTATATTGTCTTTGCCGAGCCAGAAATTTGTTTCTAGATTTCCAAACCCTGCTGCATATTGATCCCATGTGCGATAAAAGTCACTTTTGAATATACGCCTCTGTATAATAGTCCATCCTCCGCCAGATGTTTCCATATCGCAACGCACTCGTATTCCAGTAAAAATAGAAGTTGGATAGATCAAATATGTCCCAGTTTTGTTATTTCCTAGATTGTGCACATCACTGCAATCTCGCGCTATTGGTTTGTCTTGAAGTTCATTCTCGTTGTTTTTAAACAGTTCAGATATATTCGCAACTATGTCCTTAGCGATACGTTCCATATCTTTCACTGTTACATATTTGCTTACTGTTTGATCTTTTCTCCGTTCATGGTCATTCAAAGTGGTGGTTATGTTGAGAAATGCATGTCTCAAGCTGGTTTCCAGGTGTAAATAATCCTTAATGAACGGGTCATTATCAGTTGGTATGTACCATTTTTCTTTGTCGGAGGAAGCGCTTGATAAAACTTTGTTCAAAACTAAAAAAAATAAAAAAGCTTTCAAATGCATCATGTTTCACTAGAATATATAAATGTCTCGATTTTACAATCAACTTATTTGGTATAAGGTTTGTTTAGCTAATGAATTATCCTAAAAAAAAAAAAAAAAAGCTTTACTATTTAAAACAAAAAGTAAACCAAAACCTTTTACGGGTTGTTAACTTTGAAAACAAGAACATATTTTCCATTTTGCGGTAAAGATAAAAATCCCCCCCCTTTATAAAAACATAAAGTATTAAATCTATAGAGGAAATTCAAGGTTTCTATTAAATACACATTTATGAATTTGGTAGAAAATAAATATTTTACAGAGCATAGCCCACGAGTGAAATATGAAATTTTCATACCACAAATGAAAATAAATCTTATTAACAGAAAAATTGATTTTTTTTCAGTTTTATAATATACTTTGTTCTTTTTAATCTTAAAAAGGAAAATTTCCTTTTATTTTGTAATGACTTTAAGAAAATAGTTCGATATAACAGGCCTTAAAAAACGGAAAAAATAATTTAATGCAGAAAAAGTAAATTTTTTTACAGTGAAAATACGAAAAAAAAGAAACGCATGTTATTTCATAAAATTCATGTATAATCATTATATAATAAACTGTTTAATGATGCGCACGTTTTTCGAAACATGCAATATTTACATTAGTTTAAATTCAACTTAAAACTCCTGAAAACGCAGCTTACTGGCACACTAACGCACAAAAGGTTTTGTGGAAAAATTGTGTAATAATTTGATTATATGCTACATCAGGATATTACACATTTACATCGTAAAGCAACAACAGTGACTGACATTGCGTTTACAGAGCTTCATTCAGTAACTGTAATTACTCTTCCCCGGATGTCGCTACACTTGACCCCGCGGTTTAGTTGCACTGGACCTGGAAATTCCGTGGAATCAAATATCTAAGTCGCACATATCTAATAGCAGGAGGTGAAATGGTATGGTTGATTCAAGCAAGCGAAATGGTCGCAGACCAAATAAAATAGCAAGCAGTATATGTTGCTGTTGTTTTTTTCTAATTGTTTTTTTTAATTCGGTCTTGAGTATGTCACTATGTCAATATCTTTTCGCAAGTATAGAACACCGGTTTTTGGTTTTTTGCTTTCTAGTTTCCCGATTTGACGATTTGGCCATATATAAAATATAGTTTTTTTTTTTGGCGATTTTTTCTACACCTTTTTCAATTTGAAATTTTTAATTTATCCTCCATTAATCTATGCAAAATGCTAACATTGTAAAACTTAAAAACATAAAATTACATTAGATATTTGCTCTGCAGACGTTGAACTTTTAAAAATTTTAGTTACAAAAATTTCGCCCCCAACATAACAAAATCTTACGTACACAGAACCATCTTTTCCTAAAATTATTATTCATAAGGTAATATACACGTTAGCGAAAATGCATACATGCAGTAAGATATAAAAAAAACATGTAGAATATGTAGAATTTGTTGATTCTGGTTTAAATACGATGTAAATTTCCGGGTGCAGTTTTATATTTAGAAATAGCAATCGTTTGTTGTTGTTGTTGTTGTTTTGATTGAGGTTTGAAAGTTTCATGGGATGCTAGAAAAGAAGAGTGGATTGGGTATATAAATGATTTTGTTTAAACTAGTTTCAGATATCAAATGATCATGAACACCATATGCACTATTTTTGATAGTAGCACTGACTTGCCGATGACTTGCCGATGAGTTGTGCCTGTTTTTCTAGCATGCATGTCGCAAATGGTTTTTGTTAATAAACAAATATGTTAAAATATTTACCACTGAACAACGTATTAAATGAAGTGAACAACAGGATTGTTTCTGTTAATATATTGATAATTGTACTTTTTGGACAATCCTCGTTTATGAAAACATTAAATTTTATTATTGACTGGTCTCTGTTCATAAGGGGCGTGTCAAATACAAATCGACGCGCCTTATTATTTTTTTTTTCAATATTTCTTTCTGACTGGTTTAATCTGTAAGATCGGGGAGGGGGCCCAGTTTAGCAACAAAGAAGTAACTTTTATGATATTAGTTTCACATGTCAGAATGGTATTTCAATGTTATAGCTAGAAGATAAACGATAACGACAATTTGAAAGAAAAAACCAAAAGCAATTATAACAAAAACAAAACTAGTAAACATCGTGTGTTTTTTTTTAATATCATGAAATGCTTTACTTTTTTAAGGATGATAATGTAAAAATTTACAGAAATTCAGAATAGGTTTAATAAGAATTAAATGTACTTCTACAACCCATCCCTATGTTATTCAGACCTAGTGATGATCCATTTAGAGCACATAATACATAAAATGGTTGTTATAAAAAAGCTCGTTCCTTTGGCAAAAATGCAACAATATAATGGCCAATACAACCTGTCTGCAGCAAATTAGAGACAACTATATGTAGTTGTGAATTGATCCCGTGAATCTTAAGTACCTCATTTCAAGTCATTCTTTGTCGAGTTTATTATAATATATGCATTGCATTTATTGTAATATTGGTCACTTAACGTCACTTCTGGCGAGTGTAAAAGTTGTTTGATATTTGTTTTGCGGGACATCATGTAAAATGTTTTACTTATTTTGTTATATATGATAATTACGATAATGCTATTTTTTTGACCGATTAAACCCTTAAAGTTTTGTTGAGATGAAAACGGTGAGCCATTAGCGTTTTTTTATCTATTTCTTTTTTTTTTTTGCAAAAGTTTAGAAGTCATTTGAATGTGTTTTTTTAATAACAATCTTAGATTAGAATGAATGATAAATATTTTTGTTCGATGTTTTTAAAAGACCATAACATCAAACTTTCAAAGATAACTCGCTGAGATAGTCAAGTATAGGAGGTAAAAGGAAAAAAAAACAACATATGCACGCACTCGATCACGAAAACAAAACAAAAGAAATTGATAAAGAGTAGTTTATAAAGGTTTTAATACCTACTCATTATCTTTCGAAAGATGTAGCAGAACAAAAGATAAATAGTGGAAACTTCCTTATACAAACATGTCTGCACGAGCTCAAAAGTACAGTTTAAAATATATCTAACGTGCAAATGTGGTATATCGTTATAGGGGGCGTATGGTGGGATTCATTTTTGTTGTTGTTGTTGTTGTCAAATAATCATTATATCAGATTGCACTCGCAGTTTTTAAAGACATCAATATGCGGTGTTTTATTTATTTGAAATGTTACATATGTTGTGATTGAGATCCGCCATAAATTAAATCAAAGGTTGGCCATTTCGAAAATGTATGTCATTTAAATCGCGATAAATGGTGTAGTTGTGTAGTTTTTTTTTCATGTTTCAGTGAAAATAACTAAATTTAAAACTTAACTAAAAACTATATTAACTATATTTACTTTGTATCTCAAACTTAATATTTAAAAAAAACAAAAAACAAAAAACAAGAACTTAAAAAAAACGATGATTGTTTCAGACGTATGCACACATTTAAATAGACTAGTATGGCTTTTGCAGAAATGAGAAAAATGTCCTGTTTAACGTAAAATCTACAGATTAAAAGAAATATTTTGCACAAAAACTTTGTAACTTAGGTGTATTACAAAATTATGTCAATTTTCACTAATTGTAACATGAGTCCCTTGGTAATATGTCATTGTCGTGAAATATGTGATGTCGCGAAAATGAGATGTAGAGTATACATAATTAAGTGTTAAAACTACTTCTTTCACAAACTGATCAGAGCTGTTTTCACTGTCACAGAAAGATCGCCTTCACTTCTTTTCACGGCAAGTATACATGTATAGATGATTAGGATTTGATATTTTCAGACACACTTTGTCAACTTGTAAAGCTTTTTAACATTTTCATAGATTATAGTATAATTTTAATTGTATTCTGTTTTCAGAGCTTTGTCATCATCATCATCATCATCATCATCATCATCATTATCATCATCATCATCATCATCATCATCAACAACAACAACTACAACAACAACATGAACAACATTAAAATCATGATTATTATCCCTACATCATCATAATCATCGAAATTATAATGATCATTAAAATCATAATAATCAATCACATTTTCTGATTTCAGAAGATTTATTATACAAGGGCTTTAAAAGGACTCCACTGAGGTTTTATGACATGATGGGACTTCCCAACATAATTAAAATATTCGAGATAAATGTTCAATAAAATAACTTGCATAAATGGTTCTATGACAGACAGGTAAAGTAGGGACATCATTGCCCTATGGCACATTTCTAGTTACCTAAGAAAATCCATAATAGTGTAATCTGATTGGTTAATTATATTATGTGCACGGCTTAATCATTTCGTTCGCAGCACATAGTAACTCGTGTCCACGACTTTTATCTTTCGTGCGCACGACTGAGTAACCAATGCGCACGACTTAATAATAACTCGTGGCCACAACCTAGTATCTCGTGCGCACCACTGAATTATCTTGTGTGCACGACTTAGAAATTTTTGGATGCGGATTATTAACTCGTGCGCACGACATAGATTATCGTGTGCACCACTCATTTATCTCGTGCGCACGACTAAGTAACTCGTGGCCACGACATAGTATCTCATGCGCACGAGATTAATAAAAACGAACAAATGTCACCTCTGTGTCACCGTACACAGCTCTTTCTTCTCGCGCTTTACAAAATTGCCATGTAGGTATGTCTTGCATATCAGACTTGTGTTACCAATCGCTTATCCATGTCGGAATTTTCGTCTTGCATTGTTCGGCGAGGGGCGGGGGCACGTCATTTGAAAATGAAACTGCTCGTCTAGGACGACAAAATTTCGCCGTTATGCAATAAGTTGTACTTTCATACTCTATTATAAGAAAATAAAAAAGCGATGAAATGACACTCTTTTATCTTTACTTCCCCTCGGTACGTGTAAGTTGTTGAAGCACAGGGCACCGGCAGAAGATTTACAGAATTTGGGCCGGCGAAAAAGTTAACCGAAAGTTGTATCCTGCGGACAAGCTGCAGATGTCCTAACTAAAGCCGATGAGAGTGGCCGTTAAAGTAGACATGGACGACTCGGAAAGGTTACTAGGGTGCGTGAGCACTTATAGGTTCTCATTCA